GTTGAGAAAGTGGTTGTCTCAGAGCATACCTTCAAGAAACTCTCTGACGCTGATCAACTTGCTGCGCGGGAAACCTTTGGAGGCCGGCTCGAAATCACTCCTGGTACGGCCTCCCAGGAGCAGCAGTGGAAGCTAGCTACAGCTCCGTTGAGGCGCCCCTCGCCGCCGCCGGCCTTTGCTTGGACCGTTCTGGCAACTCGACATCAGGAAGTGGTTCTCCCTGCAGTCTTGCAGCCGAAGGCCAGGACTCGGATCTTCTTTCGAGCCTCCAGGGCCGACTTTGTTGCCAACCTGTCGATGATCCGCAGCAGTCAGGGCCCGGTGAGCCTTTCAAGCCACATGCACATTGCCGTGAGAGGCGAGAATTGCACTCTGACTGGGCGTAAGGAGAGGGTTGAAGACCCTACGTTCAATTCCGGCTTGGGCGCGGAGCACAAGGCCGTCATGTATTGCATTGACTTGGATGGGCGCCAGAATCGCATCCAGTTTACTCATGCCGGAGTCTCAAGCATGCTCAACCCCAAGGTGCTCGAAGTTTGCAATGTGAACGCGATGCCCAAGTTCTTGAGCTTCAGTATGCCCAGTGGGCACATTAGCTTCAGTGATGTTAGAATTGTCTCAGGGGCCGATGATGAACCCTTGTTGGAGCATGAGCGCCCCTGGACTCCGGTGAAGCGCAAGGCGGTTGCGCCATTAGCAGGGGAGGACAGACTGGACAAACAGCTGAAAATGACGTTTGAGGAACCTTCGATCGGCTGGATGACACGAGCATACAACTATATCACAGGCAAGGGCCAATCGCAAGCCCCTTTCTGCAGTCATGGCGCTGATTGCAAAGTTGCGTACTACATGAAAGACCGATCGCAGGAGGATGAGAACCACATGAACACGAACAGGCATATTTGTTTGTACGGCAAAAGTTGCAGAGAACAGGAATCCACTGAGCATGACCAGCACTTCTCGCACATTGAGAAGGACACTTGTGCTGCGGAGCCTTGTGATCAGCTTTGTGATCCTTTCCACCGAGCCGAGTATCATCATCCAGGCATGTGGGATCTCCTCCTACCTTGTCGTGATGGCGCCTTGTGCAAGAAGCAATCAAACGCTCTTCATTGCCAGAAATACCACCATCAAACGATCGTGTACGTCGTGAATGACGAGGGTGTGCAGGTTCAGGCAGAGGCCAGTTCGCTGGTGTCAATGCAGTGTAGAATTTTGGTAGCCACTAGCACTCTAGAGGCAAGTGAAGCAATCTGACAGCAGGACAACAACCAAGTGAAGTCAAGTTGTCTTCCAAACACTTATGAGGCTGCCTCGAAGAAGAGTGTCCAAGATGGCAAAGCAGAGGTGCGAAGTTGAAAGTTGCGCTTCTGGTAGGTTTTGCAGTGCGCTGTTCATCCAAAACGTAGGAGAATCTACTTTACGTCGAATGGAGTCAGAATTGAAGGCTCGCCATCGCGATGACGAAGCCATGGAAGTTGACTTCGGTTTTGACAAGATCGACGTGGAAGTGCAGGATCGAATTGATGACATGGTGCTTAGACGGCAAGGATTGTTTGATTTGGGGAGTTGGACGTCACAAGTGACAAGGCGCTAGGTATGTAAGTAGGGAACCCTTTTTTCTATTCTCCATGCACCACCTCCCCTCTTCTTGCTAGATCTTTTGAAACAAGGCAGGGATCTACAACGATGCTGCAATCAGTGGTGATTTTGGTAGTGCTCAGCTGGATATCTATGGCAATCCGGTTGGAGGCGACTTTGACTTAGCGCGTGATGGCGCGTTCGAAGGCTTTAAGATCCTGGTGCTCTGCGCCTATCATGGCGAGGGTCTTCCAGCATACTTGCAAAGTCTTACCATTCCTGAGCTATCGAAAAAGGGCTTCAATGTCAAGACTTGCATGGCCGTTGACGAGTTCACGCAAGAGCTTCGTCAGCGTCAGTATCACGTGGCCTGGATTCTCAGTTCTCAAACTTTTGAAGGAAACAAGAGCGCCTTCTTGGAGGAGATTCAAAAGTTTCATGAGGCTGGCCGTGGTCTTATGATCTGGGGCGACAATGATCCGTTTTACGTGCATGCCAATCTCATTTTGGAGAAGCTCTTTGGATTCCGCCTGATGGGCAACACGCCAGGAACGAAAGAACTCCGCCCCGGAAATCCACGCTCTGCAGGTCACTTTGGTGGACTTCCAAAAGTTTGCGCAGGGATTGTCACTCTCTACGAGGGAATCACCATTTGCTACCCCAACAAGGTGCCAGAAGATTGGCTGGTTTTTGGCACATCTTCCAACAATCATCCTGTGCTTGTGGCAAGAGAAGCATCTTCAGAGCGTCCAGGTGGGTCTTTTCTTTGTTGGTAATTTTGCTTGCATGTCAGATGTCACCTTGAAAACTGCGATCCAACCACATTAGGTCTTGACCAAACAAACCTTGATTTTTGGCACCTGTGCAGGAAAGCCGGGGAGTGGCCGCGTGATTGTCGACAATGGCTTCACCAAGCTCTACGAAAGCTATTGGAGTACTGCAGGTACTGCGCGATATGTGAGCAATTGCTCGGCCTGGTTGGTGCTGCGAGAGCGTTTCCGCCGTCCGCAGTGGGGGTTCAACCCGGTTCCTCAGTACCATGCGGGCGGAGCTTAAGCCGCGAGAGTGTCGAGACAGCGCGCCGATGGCCTGGGAAATTCAATGAATGTGCATGTAGACTTGAGTCCAACAAGTGGCCCAACTTCAATCGGCGCAACATGATCTTCCCTCTTGCAGCTCAGACTTCTCATCAATCAATCGTGTTGTTTGATGCTCTTGCTTTACTTTTAGTCGGTGCGTGTACGGTGCATGGATGCTGACAAAGCTGCAAGTAAAGATTGCGCTTAAGCCGCACAGTTTTGCAAGTGTTTCCGTGGAAGTGCAACAGTTGTTTTTATGAACAGTGTCAGATCCAAGTACAATCTTGTCCACATGTGAACTTATTTCTCTTCCCGTGAAACTTTGCTCACAACCTGCTCCACCACCTTGGCAAGAATACAACAGGGTTTCTTTTGCAAAGGATTCCTCTTCTGTTTTGTTGCGTTCTGCGGCAGTCAAGAGTGACTGCACTGAGTCGTGGACAGTCAAGGGCACGGAGGTTCAATGAGGTTGGATAAACGTCCTGCAAGTTTCCTAGGAGAAAAGCAGAGCGTGCTCGTTGGGCAGTGCAGGCGGTGCATGGAAACGGCTTTGCAATCCCAGCATGCGTTCGAGATCCGGTTTTGTCAACTTGCTCAGTGTGTCGTGACTTAGAAGCTAAAGCAAATCCATAGAGTGGTGCTCCAACATGACACAGCTGCAATCCTTGTCAGCTCCGCTTGGAAATCTACCATCGACCAACGTATTGTGATAGATGCATAGATCGTGAACAAAAGAAGAGATGACTTATTGAGCCATGGGTTCAATCATGCATGTCTCATCGCAAGTCAGCGAAAGAAGCCCGGTGCTCGGTGACGGTGACTACTTGTGGTGGTGTTTGAGTGTTGGCGCGCGTTCCCTTGTAGGATTGAAATTCTTAGAAACTCCAGCCTGATCTCCAAGTAAACATCCATCATGTATTGCACGTATTGTGAACTAAGGAGTCCAACATCAATACCCGCGTGGGGTAACCGAGTGGGATGAGTGAGAGCGTTGGTGAGTGAGCGTTTCTTTTTCAGGAGACAAATGCGATCTGCAGCGCTTTAAAGAATCCAAATGTGCCATCCATCCGAACACCTCTCAGGTATCGAGGATGGAAGCTTGGAACCCCAGCTCACGGCCGCATTCTGTTTCCATTCCAAGTACTTACTTAAGTGGTTGACTGTGCTGGGATGTTTTTTCTCGACAATGGTGTTGGGGCTGTGCGTTGAGCTGGCTGAGATACCGAGCGCCCGCTCTGGGATGGATCCTACAAGGTGAGCTCGGCTTCTGTGTGGTTCCTCAATTCCTGCTTCCGATGTGAGAGATCAGGGTCTGTTGCCCTCGTTCGAGCAACGGAATTCCACGCAAGGTGGGGTTTTGTTTGTTTGCCAGCCACGGTGAAGCTTGATTGATCACTGTTGATCTGTGAAGTGGAGCATAAGCCGCAAAAGTTGCTCTAGCTGGCGTTGTTCTTGCACGTTGTTGCTTCAATAAGAGTTTGGCAGGGCTGGGCTTCGATGCAATACTTGATATTTCCGACCTATCTATCGCGCCCTGCCGGGCGCATCTCCAGCCTGGTGCACGAATTCCACTTTGTCAGTTACCTTCTTTGAAAAGCATCAATCTAGCGGCTAGCGGCACCAGTCAGACAGTCACAAACACGCATCACTCTACCCTACCGACTATCCAGACTTCACCACTGACTATCCCCCAGTGGTGGCAACACACCATGTGGAGGTGCAAACATGTACAACGATGAGAAACAAGGACGTACACAGGTAATTTCTCAGTTAAACATGTGCATAGCTGGCCTGGCTAGACATGCGCGATTGCAAGCTTCAGCAACGAAACACAGACACAAACATTTGCTCATGCAAACGGGATCAATCGTGCATTTTTGCTTGTCATAGTCAAACACGTAGGATGTCAAACAATGGAAAAAGAGACTTCTATGCTGGTTGAATTCTTGGTATAGCATTGGCGTATGTTAGGTCCTCAGAAGGACTGGTTGCCTGGTGAGCAGCAGAAACTATTCTATGAACTCAGTGAAAGCAAGCGCATTCCAGGTTTTAACATCCCCAAACATCATTTCTTTAACCCAGTGAAAGTTTGACTGGCAAAACTTAAGGTTTTACATTGTGAGGTTTTAATTGAGTTTCTGCGTTTTGGGTCGTGTCCTCCCCAAATGAGCCTACTGTACGCCGGGAAGTGAGCTGCTCATCAAGCACGCATTACACGTGTCGGTAATACCTAGTAACAGAAACGCGGATGAGGGCAGATGAAAACCGAACAGAAATAAGAACAAGATTTAGTCCAAAGCCCTGAGGCCCTAGTACAGCCTGTCAAGTTTTTTGTTTTCAAGCTGTATGATTTGTGTTTGATTTTTTGAGGTAGGACACCTGCCATCATAAGGCACATCTGCGCCGTTGAACTCCTCTTGTTCCCAACTGGATTGGTTATTCGCCAGCCATGTCCGCTGCATGTTTATTCCCTCTCATCTTGCCCAGGGCTATGCTGCTATCCCCGTTTGCATCCTATTCAGTCCGTGCAGCCTGCTATTTTTGGCGTGTCCCATACTTAAGTCAGGGTCATGCTATGAAGGTCCTCCGATTTGTCATTTGTCTTGTTCGCAATACTGTGACCAAGGGTTTGCTTTCAGATAATTTTCATGGACTCACTTTGATGTGTTGAAAACAGCAGCTGTTTCCAGATTTTTCTTTTTGTCCCGGTTTGTATCTTGCTATTGGGGTCTCCAGCTGGGCTAATTTTTTGCTCAGATCCCCTGCTTTTGTGGGGTGAAACCGTGAAACCTAATCTGCTCCATGCAGCTCCTCTTGTGACCCATCGCTGTTACATTTACATGGTCCTGAATCCAAGCCTTGCCCACACTAGACCAAGGGTGGGAGTTGCAGCCCCCTCTATAGGATCAGCTTCATTGTCGGGCACTGCTGTGTTGCAAGGTGCCGTTAGGTGTGCCGTGTGCCTTGATTTCCCTCTAAGATGGGGGCCGAAGGCGAATCAATCTCAGCTTATCTCATTTTGCCTCATCCCATGTTCCATCACGTAACCTCAGTTCACATCGTCCACATCACCGCATTCAAATCTACCCTTATCACTTATCACTTTGTCACCCCTCATGTTCATCAGAGTTTGACTTCCTTTTTTTCTCAGCTCTCCTTTCCTCACCTCTTGGCATCGGCCCCGTGTCCTACCACTGTAGACTCTGTCGTTAGACAGATGGTGTGTCAGAACGATGACCAATCCTCATCTTGATGCCAACAAAAGCTGTGAAGTTCTAGCACCCTCTCTCTCTCTCATGCATTTCCGTCCACCCCGATACTCTCAAGCGGCTCAGGTTGGACACTTCTGCCAAGTGAAGAAGATTGGAGCAAGCAGAGGTGTCGCGATGCAAACCTGTTTGTAAATGGAAACGCATTTTGTTTGTTATATTTTATATTATGCTATTACGTAAAACTGTATATCTATACGTACACGGAAATTACACGTATCGTATACAGAGTGCACGTGTATAGTATAGTATGCCACAGACTTTCCTTTGTTTCACTGGCGTAGAAATTGAGGTTGACTAAGCATAGATGTGCATCAGCCCAATGACCACTCAGATGTGGCCAAGGCAAGGCACGCTGAACGCTTTCGATTCGAAGCAAGACCAACACGTGCAAAGGACTGGCAGCGGGGCGTTCAGCCCGTAACCCACATGACCGCGTTCATCCTGCTTCGGGCACCGAGCCAAGTAGCCAGGTCTTCCACAGGTTCCATGGCACTGGCACCCAAAGATGCCTTTGATAGATTCCGGGGGTCCGTATCAACCACCAAACTTGGGGGCCCCGTTTGGGGGCCGCGGCATTGGACCTCTGAAAGCACTGTATGTGTTCTGGTCTGACTTTGCTCCAGTTGACTATCACCTCATGGGACCCAATATGCGCTGTTGATGTCGGGTGTAAGGTTGAAAGCCATTGGCAGCTTGTAATGACGACTCCAACATGTGCCTTGGACATGACAATATGCCGATTATTTGCAAGCTCTTGAGTAGGATGCCGTGCGCTTGCCTTGCAGGAGGTTTGGATCTCCAATTCGACTGGCGTTGGTGAAGGCCAGGCCAGGACGGTTGGAGTTCTTTTGAAATGCACCATTCGCCAGTTTCAATGGGCTGGCAGTCAGGGCGAGTGTACTTCGCGCACTGTTCTTCGCTCCTACGGTTCCATGGCCCGGTCTCATCCTCACTTGCCGGCTATAGCAGGGCCCTTTCTTCTGAATAAAAGATAATAAAAGGACCAAGTTAGGCACAGGATGAAGACCTCTGTGATTTTACACATTGAGGTAGCCGCTGCCTTTCTGCGACTTGTTGCTTTTGCTTGCAAAGCCAAGACTCCGTTTTGGTGAGACCAAAACTTTGGCACATCCTCTTGTAAAGTTCTCATGTGTTCTACCCCCTGCTGCGCGTTTTTTGATGATTTTTGGGGGAGTCTGTGGAGGGCGGTGACCACCCTTCAGCGACCTGCGACTCGTGGCGATCCATTTAGCCAGCCCAGCAAGTGGAGAGCTCCAGTTTCCACCCCAGACCCGACGAAAGGCCCATGAAACGCAGCTTTTGATCGGCTCCAAAGAGAAGCCGTCGACTTTTCCTTTCGCCGACGAGCCACCTGGTTCGCGGCCTGGGGAGTGCGAACCCCGCGCCTGCGAAGCGATGCTGGGCAAAGGAATCCAGGATTGCATCTATGGTGGACCCGATCAGTCGGAAGAAGAGCGAGCGAAGTCCTCCTGCACCATGGATGCTCGCATGCTGCTCGTGGCATTTCTCACCTTTGTGACATATATGATGTACCATGCTCAGCGCATCAGTTTTTCTGCGGTGGCCTCCTCTCTGACGGAGGAGGCGGGCTTTACGGCCACGCAACTGGGCGTGATGTCCACAGGATACATGTTTGCTTATGCCATTGGTCAGTTCATTTGTGGCCGCTTTGCTGACACGGTGCGACCCAAGCGTGCCTTGGTGTGGGGCATGTTGTGTTGCGCGCTGCTACCGATCATCGAGGGATTAATGGGTGCCAGTAGCTGTGGCGGCGAAGGATTCTGCTATTCTCTTTGGATTTTTGCACGCATCGCCGAAGGCTTAGTGCAGGCCTCAGGCTGGACGTGCACCGTGGCCATCATGGGGAACTGGTTTCCGCAGGAAGGGCGGGGCTTGATCATGGGGCTGTGGGCGACCAACTCCAATGTGGGTGACATCTTTGGCCTGCACGTGAGCTCCGCATTTTTGGACTCGGTGGCATGGTATGTCATCTTGTGGGTCATGGCAGGAGCGAGTTGACTCTGTGAGGTGAACACATATTATTTATAGGCCAAGGCAAAACGATTTCTTAGGGATAGTGGATGCAGCATGCCGCAACCCACTCAGTGCACGGCTCCTTACCTTGTCCCTGTAGGCTTCATGATCCTGTGGACTGTAGTGAACATGATCTTCCTGCGTGGAGCTCCTCCGCCCTTTTCCTTGAACTGGCAGTATGAGGAAGCCGCGTCGACCAAGCTCGCGGCGGTGGATCAAGAGATCTCAGGTAGTTCGGCCAACTTGTGTCAGATCTTGCGTGTGCCAGGGCTGCTGCAATATTCCTTTAGTTACTTGGAGGATTTGCTTGGCAGAAACTCTTCTCAATCCAGGGAATTTCTCCTGCAAGGTTGTCGTCGTGGTGCTGGTAGTTGTGGTTGTGATTGTGGTGGTGGTTGTGGTTTGTCATTTTTCCGCGTTGGTTTGCTCTTCAGAGTGGTTGAACTGTTCGATTTTTGGCTGCTCCTTTTCTGCACGACCTATGTTTGTCGTTTTTTCTGTTGAGGTGCGTTTCGTACGACGGCCGTTTTCGTGTGTGTTTTGGCTCTGGGTGGTTTTCGCCATGGGAACCCTCGGAATGGGTGGCACATTCCGCACCCAGGCGATTCTTTTCTTTCCCGCAGAGAGCAAGCTCTAGAGATTCTTCATGGTTCTTCTCTTCTCTCAGTAGAAAGACGGTTCTTGCTTGCAACTGTTCTCAACTCCCGGATCCGGTTCCGCACCTCACGAGGTCGTGGCGCCAGGGGAGCCTGGGAAAGCCCTTTTCGCCCTCGGTCAATCCCGGTTTTTCGCCCTGTGATGAAACGGTTCTTAGCTTCGCTTTCGGTTTTCCGGATCGCTTCGAAATGGTCGCAATGGTCCCATCCACGATTGGCCTTTCTTCGTTTTGGCCCGTGTCAAACGATATGGCCCGCTTCGCCGGGACTTCGTTTTTTGGGGCGCTCCGGTGGCGGAGAACCAACGAGCGGCGGAACCAGACACCGAACGCCGGAACGGAGTGCCGTTGGTGTGCAGAGTGCCATGTTCTTCTGTGCAGATTTGAGTGCTCTTACAAGAGGAAGAGAGGTGTGCCTTATTTCATGATCTTCCATGATCCGTGATGGCCTTTTGGCCTCGCATATAAACGAGTCACGGAGCCTTCTGGGCTTGCGCTGTGGGGTGCACCATGCGACCTAGCCGGGATGATCACCAATGATCACGTGAGCATGTCCAGCAAACTGTTCTACACTCCTTCCTGTTCCGACTGCATGCCCCGCCCGTCGCGTCAAATCGCACCGATCTTCCAAAGCCTCCAGAGGGCCTGAAGAATTTTTTGATTATTATTGTTTTTTCTAAATGCAATCTATTCCTTTTTTTTATCCCTTGTGCTTGACTTTTGTGATTCTTGCAACCCATGGCCGGGTACTCTTACCTTACCCTTAGCCACTTGGTCACCATTTATATACCTAGTCGTTCTCTGAGTCTCACTGAGTCCGACTGAGTGTCACTGAGTCACTGAGGTTACATGTTTATCAAGTTGGTGAACTACGCTCTCTTCCTCTGGTTGCCCTTTTATCTGAGTAAAGGCATCGGTGTGGATAAGTCCTTAGCCAGTCTGATGGCCACGCGCTTCGACTTGGGCTTCATAGTGGGTGCCATCCTGGCTGGCCTGGCGAGTGACGTGACGACCCACTGGGCACGCATGCCCATGAGGAGCGGAAGAATTGCATGGGGGCTGGAGCTTTTCAAAGGGGACAGTGACAGGTTGGTAGATTGGGTGTGTGGTACAATAGAGACTTTCTGGTCGAAGACTCCCGAACCGAACCCAGGAGGTTGTTGTCCGGGAGGTCTCCCTGTTTGAGCTACACACAGATGGTGAGATGGTCTGTAGACTTTGGAATTGGAGACTTTATGGGTGATCCCACGGTGGTGTTTCTGGATGTGTCCGCTCGCCATTGTCCACCTGTTTCCGTTTGTTTGCAGAACGTCGTTCGACGATCCTGTGACTTCCGAGCTGCCGGACTCGACCCTGTGGCAGGAGTCCGGTGGTGAGTAGCTTCCTGCTTCTTTCGCTGATCCCGATGTCGGTGATGCGCTTCTCCTCCGATCCGGAGGTCTGCTTTTCTCTCTTGCTACAGTAAACCACAGTGAAGCATAGTAAACCTACAGTGTTGGGGTCAATGTCATCTAAGGTATTCTGAATGATTCTATGGCTTGCAGAGAACCCACCGAGTCACAGATTTCCAAAAGCTTTGCTCTCAGTCCGGGTGTATTGGTTTGTGGAGATGGATTTTGTAGGGAAATCGATCAAAAGCAACTAGGATGATACCCCCCAAGACCTCTAGCTGGTGCCATGCCTGAACATCCTCAGCAAATGAGGACTGGTGTGAGTGTGAGTCATTCCTTCAACCATCTGACACGAGGTGATCAAGTGGGCCATCTTCTGCTGTGGTATTCTGCAGGGTGGACCGGCAGATGCCTTGACCTCTGCAGTGTCAGTGGACTTGGGCAAACATCCGAGCTTACAAGGGGCCAGGGCCACCTCCACAGTGACTGGTATCATTGATGGTACAGGGGCTGTGGGAGCAGCTGTGGGGCAGTACATGGTGGGAATGCTCAGTGATCAGTTTGGCTGGAAATCCGTGTTCCTCTTCTTGCTGATTTGCTTGGGTGCTGCCTTCCTGCTCTCCTTGTTTCGACTCTTCAAGGAGCTGCAATCATACGGCTTGCAGCAAAGCGTAACGTGAAAAGACCAGCCGTTCGGTGAAACCAGCCCCTGTTCATTGTCACAAGACACACATACGTGGGACGTGGTCATCACCCATAGTGATGGCCCATCACGGCCACTCAGGTTGAAGGCTTTGGAAGGCATCAACTTAGGGTGTAGGTGTCAATGACCTGATCCCTCCTATGGTATCCTTGCTAGTTACTCTGTGGGGCGCACCGCAGGAGTTGGCGGATGTTCGTGCTGCCCGAAAGGCAGAGATTGGAGCCGTCAGTGCCAATGGCTTGGGAGATGGCATTGATTGCGCCAGTGAATCTTCGGAGGACAGTGAGGATTTCCAGCCGTGCTAGCTAGAGGCAGGGGTTTGTTGAATCGTACGTAGCTAAAGTTCCAAAGCTGCCCAAGCTACGTTTTTTTCTTCGAAAGGAGCGCGTATTTGACCTTAGTACATGTTGCTACACACTCATTTCATTTCCTTTCATTGTCTTGTAGTGTATGAGAACTTGGTGGATGCTGTTGTATTTTGCAAGAGTTTAGCAACACAGTTCTAGATACTGAGTAATAGGTATATATATATTTATACATCATCGGTCACACTATGTCACTATGTGCACTGCGTACACTTGTAATATCCAGGAATAGACATCAACACGGAACCCCAGACTCCGTAGACGTCCACGGAAGATCTGGTTCTCCCTCCTTCTGGCTGTCCAGAAACTCACTGCGGGCGGTTGTTTTCCGTGTGGCTGATCCGAGTTCCGGGCGCCTGGCTCTTTCTTTCGTTCGGGCCCGCTTTCGTGTCCGTGGCGCCGGAGCCGTACTGACCCGCAGCACGGTGGACGGTGCACAGCGGTTGTCAGGCCGTCAAGCAAGGTCTCTGGAAAGAACTCATTCTAGGAGACCGTTCTCAGACTCCATGGAGAATGACCGTTGGTTGCTGGCTTCTTCCCCTGGACAGGCTGTTCCCTAGGGATCCACGTGCCTTCTCAGAAGGTACTTAGGCCCTCCAAGCCTACATAAACAGTCTCCAATGAATCACCTTCTGAGAAGGTACTTGGATCCCTAGGGCTTGGTTTCTGCGCGAATGGTACATGTGCTTTCTGCACCAGACGGTTCTTAGACTCGATGGGTCCTCAATCCTCAAGTCGCCCCGTGTTGAGGAAAGCGAACACACCAAGGAGTGGGAACCCACAAGGAAACCGAACAGAGCAGGTTATCTACAATCTACAACACATATGGGTGTGTATTTCAATAGGAAGACCTTGGCCCTGGGTGGGTAGACTGGTCTATTTTTCCTTTTTCCAGGGCGTCGGGGTCTAGAGTCTAGACCCTATCCCTGTTTTTGTAGGTGACGAGTGCGGAGTGCGATTTCCACCCTGTGTCAGGCCATGTTGATTCTTTCCGGGCTGTGGGCCTGTGTCATAGTACTTGATGCAGTTTTGTGTGTTGCTCATCTCGTTAGACCAAAGGTTTCGCTTGAAATCCTACAGTTTCTGTGGATATTGCGGCCACACACCTGCGCACACGCACATATGTACATATGTTTGTGCGCCTGTATGTGCTGTTTCTACAAGACTCCTGCGTTCCGCAGGGTTTCACGGTGTGCTCTTGCGCGAACACCGACCACGGTGTTTCGGTGTCCACATGTGTCCACCAGGTCACCTCCTTGGAGGCCGAGTGACCAAAAAACGGTGTGGAAGATATTTTTGGGTCGCAAGAAGCCTATTGAGTTTGTGTCCCACTTTATCTACCTTGTACCTCTGCGCGATTTGAGTCTTTGTGGGCGAAGATGGTGCACGTCCTGCAGAAGAATTGTTCGGCAACCTTTTGATGCAACAGGCCACCAAATAGGTGGCTCCACACGGAATGGGAGTTGCCAGACATGTCCCAATTTCTTTAATATCTTTGTGTTTCGCGCCCTGGGCGAGGGCCCGGCCATGTCAGAAGTGTCTGCCCACAGAAAAAGGAGCGGTGGCAAAGGGTACCACTTGCTTCTGGGCGCTGCCTGGTGGGAGCCAAAGTGGCCAGTCTTCAGTGTTGTTCTTTTCCTGTCAGTTGGAGCCTCGGTCGTGAGACTTTTCTCATACAAGACATCATCATGAAGCCATTGGGTGCTGGTGAATGAAAGCTAATTTCAGGACCTCAGCACAGCAAGAGGCATGCTAGGAACAGTGGTGGGTTGTTTCGATGCAACTATCTGGGAACACAAAGATAGGACACTTGGATTCGACCAGTGAAATGAAGAATGGTATCGAAATTGATTTGGAGAGGAATCGGTGTTTGCGTGCCCAATGTCGCAGGTCGTAACTAGGGGCAACTCATTTTGCCGTGCGACGGGCCATTTGCACCTGGGTTTGTTATGGGACTCGTAGCTAGGTTTTATAATGTTATATATATTCTTATACACCGGTGAAAAAAATCACGGAACGGAAAACTAGTTTCGGCGTATTTAAACATGGAACTCGTTTCACCGCAACTCCTGGGGAATTGGCATTGCAACTTGTTTCGGTGGACAGGCAGGTTTGAGGCACCCTGCAAAGTTAACATAGAATATGTTTTACGCCCGTGCTACTCCCTCAGATGGCCTTGGGAACATCCTTGTTTGAGGCTCGCAAATCTAACATGAAACGGGGGGGGGCACCCAGAATTCTAGGGTCAAATGGTCCACGTTAAATTTGGCCCTGACTGATACCAGGGCCACACAAGGTTATCAACCGGAGGTTTACTGCTTTGCGCAAATTTAACATGGAACGTGCAAAAATGCACTTATGCACCCTGGCACTAACATGGAACTGAATCGGAAAATCTCATTTTTTCATCGAGATGTTTTTTTTCCCCGGAGTATACTTTTTTTTTTTTTTTTAAATGTGTTCTTTCGAAAAAGAGCCCACATTTAACCTTGGTATACCTTGGTACTTGGTACATTTGCTACACTAGAACCAGCCAACCAGCCGTTTGCATATCCTATAGTACTTTCTCAGCGTCAACATGCCCCAACTTTGCGTAGCTCGTCATCTGTGCGTAGCTCGTCACCGGACACTGGCCGGAAGAAGATCCGGAGACTGCTTGCCAGGGCGCGTGGCAACACGCCGGCAGGGCTTCTCGAAGTGCCCCGACAGGCGTGACAACACTTGATGCCTTCATTTGCCAGCGGAATTGCACGACAATTGTGACATATATAGTTGCCTAATCATTTGCTCCTATCAAGATTTGCAGGTGGTCGATGATTTTGTGCGGGTACCTCGGCTGCCCAAGTCAGCTGCGGGCGAACCGTGCTAGCCTTTGGTGAGAGTCTTGCGTCACGCTGCGCCGTAAAAAGATGGATGGATTGATATGTACCATGTGTGGGTTGTCTATATCACATGGCTTGTCCTTTTTGTTGCTGATGTTCACATGTTGCGGCGATGCAAACAATGCCTTGATTTTTCGTGCTCCAGCTATTGAGTGAGAGCTGAACAGGTCACATTTCTCTCTCTTTCGAAGGAGAGGCGAAAAACGCCCTGGACAGAACTGGCAATGGCGCAGCTTGCGATGCTCTTCTTGTTCATCCAGCAGGTCTTTGGACACCAGGACGGGGTGACTCTTATGGGTTTATCTGGTGCAGCGTAGCCCCAGAGCAAAAAACGTTGCCCCTTAAGGGAAGATTTCAACATCATCCAACGTCCAGGCTGCGTCCACACCACACACCTTCCCACGCTTTTCTTTACCTTTTTGTTTCAGGTGGACATTCGTTAGGGAATTCTGCCAAAAGCTGTGAGGTAAAACCTGCATCGGTTGGAGCTTCCAAAAGGTATCAGTGACTAGTAGACAGAAAAAATCATGACTTGGGAAGCAGTTAAAAACCGATTGGTTGTCCAGTCACCCAAATCTAATTGAGGCACCCAACTGTTGGCAACCTGCAGGTTGTTGCCACTGCTACTGCTACTGTTTTGCCTTCATCCACGTAGCTCCGTTTGCAGCGTGCTGCCTGAATTCCGAAGGCCGTGTTAAGTTACCCACCGTCGCTGGCGCCTTTATCTCCAGCATCATAGGGAAAGCTGCTTGCACGATTAAACTGTCTCAGCAGCAGGCTACTGACGGGACCTTAGCAGTGACGGGTGTCGACTCGCCAATTGTCATTTAGTGATGAGTTGCTTGAGCACAACTGGCAGGACGCTATGTCTTTTGCGTGTTCGAACCAGTGTTGACCTCAGAAGCATTGGAGATCAGCTTGGTGCAATAAGAGCACTTTGGTACTGCGGTGTTTCACGCGTGCCCAATCAGCCCAATCACATGTTGCAAGCCTGGTCAACCCAACTTGTGCTTGCTCCCCGATTGTTTTCATCCCTTGTGTAGACTGATAGACCCCCGTGTGCATTTCTCTCACCCAATGGCCTAGGTCGGTGTGTGACGAGAGGGCGTCGTTGATCCAATTGAAGGCTCGCGCATTGACGGCCCCGCTCACCTTTCCTCTTGGCAATACCCCGGATTTCAATCATGTCAAACGTCTCAGCATCCCCGTACATCCCGTTATCTCACAAGTGAAGCCTAATTAGGCCAAGCTGTCCATGTCGCTGTCGTTCTTGGGCGCCGCAAGGCTGCTTCTGGTACTTGCCCGGATGACTTCGACGATGGGGATTGCTCTGCAGACAATTCTTGCCAATGCACTCCGCAATCTGATTCTGAGGAGATTCTAGGATTCTTCAGCGGTGCCTGCTTGCTTACTCTTGCCCGAAGGTACAACGCCTCAAAACGAATGGTTTACGTTGAACCCTGGGCGTTGCGTCCGTCGTCAACCATTGTCAACCGTTTGTATTGTCCTATTTGGGGGAGCTTTTGGAGGAGGTCTGCTGCGAAGGTACAGCGTTTTCGCGAGGTGGACACGTCACTCTGCGATTAGGACTTGTTTTTCCAGGGTGGTGTCTTTGAGGTGTCCAGTGTCGCTTTGCCATTGGGATTTGCTTGTGTGTAGTGTAAATTTCTTGCGTAGTCACTTTTCGTTGCAGGTGCTGTACTTTGTGTGTTTTGGAGGTGCTGGGTGTCAGTTTTCGTGGCAGATGCAGGGAATCGTGTCGTTAAAAGTGGTGTGCCAAGCGGGTTCTCTTTGGAGGTGCTTGGCTTGCAAGACTGCTTGGCCGGCTGCGTGATGTGTGATTTCTTTTGGAGGAAGTTTCGTACGAAAGCCTGGTTTTGACAAAACCTGACAGACGACTGTAAAGTCTGAAGTGCTCGTTCTGGAGACTTCCTCCAACCATGTAAGAGCACGTCCGCCTCAGACAAGAGCGTCCCACAAGGGTGTCAGGAGTGTCACACAAAAATCCCCTAGAAGAGTGTCAAGAACCAGTGTTGCGCAGATGCGCCCCACAAGAGTCCTACAAAAGTGTCGTGTCAAGCAAGACTTTCCAACAAGAATGTCGGACAAGAGTGCCGAGCAAGAGTGTCGCTCAACAGTGCTCCACGAGAGTGTCTTAGAGGATCTTAGAGGAGTGCCAAAAATGAGTGGCGCAAGAGTGTCCGAAAAGAGTGCTGCGAAAGAGTGTCCTACAAGAGTGTCGCACAAGAGGGTCAAGTAAGAGTGTCCCACAAGGTTGTGCTAGAAGAGTGTCAAGTAACAGCAGCAGAAGAGTGCAGTACAAGGCTGTCAAGAAAGAGCGTAGATTGATTGAAACAAATTGCCCAACAAGAGTGTCCTACAAGAGTGTCGCTCGAGAGTGTCAATGGTCAATCAAGAGTCTCGCGCAAGAGGGTCCTAAAAGAGTACACGACTGTCCAACCATAGTGTGCCCCAGAACATCCTACGAGAGTGTCAAGCCAGTGCGTCCTACCGCCCAAGAGTGTTCTAGAAGAGAGTGTCAAGCAAAAGAAAGAGTGTGTTGCCAGAGTGTCCTGCAAGAGTGCCTTCGAAAACTGTATCGTCTTTTTAAAACCAAGATGTGCCAGGCAATAATGACGACCCTTGAACATGTCTTACAAGAGTTGTCCTGGAAGAAGGGTGTCCCACAAGGGTTCCCTACTAGAGCGTCAAACAGTTGAGATATCAAATCGTTGTTCATTCGGGTTCGTGGGCTTCATTTGGTCTACGCTTTTGCCTACACAGATCGACACAGACGCATACACACATACGCACACCAGCCCTTCGGATTGAGGATTGGAGCTTTTCCCAACGGTGTCTTGCAGTGCTCGGGAGAAAACAGCTGCACCAGTGCGGACGTTGGAGTTCGTGACACGAATTTCTTCAAGTTCGTTGAGCCTTGGGCTTTGCTGCGCCGTTTTGTATGGTCGCAAGGGTTGATTTCGCCACTGTTTCGCTTCAAGGGCCGGGGCTGTGGATTGTCCGTTTTGTTTGTTTTTCTTAAACTAAGCAACTATACTGTATGAAAGTGTTTCTTGCGTTTTCCTTCGTTCGGCGGTTGCCAGTGGAATTGTCGCATTTTCACAGTTGCTTTCACAGGATCCGGATGATTACCTCGAGTGCACCGCCTTCAAAGCATGCGGCTGGCAACATGCGGCGGGTGCAGAGGCTGGCTTAGCGGGTGGCTACTTCAATGTCAAGAACATCGGGGCCCTATGCTGCGCTGTTCCTAACCTCATTTTTGGCAACAACGGCGTTTGCAGTAAGTCAAAATTTACCATGGCTTCCAGCACCAAATGCTCCAGGGACGCCTGCTGCCATGGAACGAATATTTGCAGAGGCAGCGACTTGATTGGAGTTCGAAGTCTCTCCTGCTACGACCGCGAGGCCTGCTCTGCAGGAAACTATGCAGAAGTTGAGAAGGAGACTTTGCGACATTACATAGACATAGACGGTTTTCAGTTTGTGGGGGTCGCCCAGTGATACGGATGCTTTTGGTGGACAAAGTGCATCATTTAAAGAGCGTGGTCCGAAGATCTAGCCCAAGTGTCCCGCTTTCTTGCATTGAATTGCTGTGACTATGCTTGGAGAGGCGTGTCTTGTGTACTTGCAAAAGCGATTCGCGATATAGGGTCCTTAGCACCTTCCCAACAGAAGCATACACACATGTAATTTCGGACACATTCCTATGTAGCCGAGCGTCACAATTCAAAGGACTAGCCAAGTCATTTTCTGAAAGCTCAGCTCATGGAGCGGCTTTAAACCAACAAACTCAGGACGTACATTGCCTCGGAGACTACTCATGTTGCCGGTGGTCGAAGGAGGGCCGAGCTTCAACTTTCAAGATCACCACAGGCGAAGGACATTGTGTGACCTGTGGCGGTTTGCGGTCCTGCCAGGTCAGACTGCTGCCTTTGCATAGTAAGTTTTGTCGCCCGATGTTCTTTTTCTGGTCTAGACAACAAAACAATCGTTCCACCGGTCAAACCTCGGCCAACCTGCATTTAAATGCGCGTTTGTGTTCTCAAATCTGCAGTCAGGCCAGTGGAAATTCACGCAGCCATCCGACACTGACATGAACTGCACAGGCGAAGAAGCATGCGACCGTGCGACAATCAGTGTCAATGGCGGGTGCTTCAAGCTTTTGTGTGACGGTGTGAGAGCTTGCAGGCAAATGGATCTCACTTTGTCAGGCAAGCGGTGCAAATCATTGAAAATCGGGTGGACGGTCGAAACTGTAGGCTTGGTGGAAGGTCGAAGCTCGGTGGGACCTTCATGGCCAATTGATGCGAAACTATTCAACATTTGGGTATCCAAGGAACACTTGGATGACTTTTGCTTACCTTTCCGTGGCAAATAAGCGTATTGTCATTGAAAGTAACAACATTGGTATGGATTTGATTTGATGGTGGTGCTCCACCTTTGTCATACCATAGAGTTGAAATCACAACTGAGAAGACCTTGGAGCGGTAGGAGAGTCTCCGGCTCTTGGCTGCGACAGCCGGCGCCGTTGCCTACTCCAGTCGTTGCCGGTGGGTGTGACTGGAGAGCTCAATGTTGGGCCGTGGACGACCGTATGGAGCTCCAAACTGTTGTAGAAGTATAGGGGACAAGGATGCTTGGCAAGAACTGCCACGAGTAAAGGTATTGAGTTGGAGTATCCGAGACACAAGTACACTCGCCACACCTGTATCCAACCTCCGCCCAATAGTCGCGCATCACGCTAAGGCGCGTCGCGAAGCCTTCTATAAAGGCGCAGACCACCGACCGCAACTGAGCCTGTAGAGCGATAAACGCAGAGGCCTTGATATGGTACTGGATCACTATCCAGCAGCATCTTCGTGGACTCAAGCCCTTCAGACTTGGCTAACAGCATTGAACCGGAGAATGACTAGGGGGCCGCGTCTCGTCACCCCAACAAGCCTCACCAAATGCAACCAACAAAGCGAAGCAACCAACGAGCGCGTGTCTGCGCAATGCAAAACGGGTCTCAAATGCCGGAAGAATTGTTCTAGTAATGCGCGGGGCTTTGGAGGAAGTAGGTGGGAATCTTTGCGAGCAGGTACGCGCCGTCTGCATTCAGATTGCATGCTGTGGCAAGTGGCAAATTCCAAGTGTCTTCGTTGAGCGGTCACTTCGATAATAACAACAATGCTCACTTCCAACGCACACACACACAAGGAGGCCGTGCCCTCCAGCCAGAGCAACTGAGCATCCCCACTGGTTCGGGAGACAATCAGAGTAGGGGCAGCAGCAGGCTGAGAACCAGGCATGGGACGATGTTAGTGAAGCAAGAAGACGAGATCGACCGACCTCCCCCTCCCTAAAAAATGTTGCTACACGAGTCAGGCCAGTTTACTGTAAATGGATTCATTTTGCACTAGCAAACTAGAATGAGTCCTAGATCAAAATAGGCACCCGTCAGTCAGAACCTGTATTTCCATTGTATTTGCATAGTATAGGACTGGGTGATGAACGACATCAACCTTGGCAACGCCCATCATTTGCTATAACAAGGTATTAGAAGGACATCTTATTAAGATGATGAACCAACAGTTTCATTCAGATTCAAAGAAGCTTCAGGCCCTTGGCCCTTGGTTAGGCATCCTCTGCCCCGCCCTACCCAGACCAAAGAACTGTTGGATGGTGGCAAAAGATCAGGGCGCGCAGGGCTTGGAAGTTTGATGGGGAATGGGGAAGTGAAATCAACCATGCCACTGCCTGGCAGGTGGTGCTGAGTGCTCTTGCACAGCAGCCAACAGTGGTCAATGCCCGGACAAGTGCGCTGGATTCAAGATCTGTGCGGAACCAACTCCATGCGGAGCGGAGCGCTACGAGTCGCTGGGCGACAACAGTCTTTATTTTTTTCACGCAAGGGCTCTTCCCGCGTAATAACTTTGATGTGAAGGGGTTGTGATAGGCAATCTTTACTTTACTTTCAAAAACCAAGTCTTCAAAAAGACGTCCTAATCTTGAGCTGGGTCGATGCGCGGCGGGACTACTTTCAAATCTGCAAGTTGGCAAATGCGGCCACGAAAAATCAGTCGTTCAGCTGCAAACCTGATCCAACAGTCTCAGCCAGGCCGGCTGCGTTAGTTTCCAAAACATCCCAAATTTGTCCGACTCACTCAAACTCCATATGCGCGTCCTTCCTTCTCTGAGGTCCATCACATGCGCTGCGAGCGGCCCTGACCAAACAGATTGCGCCGCTGCGTGCGATGACAGTGGCCGTGCCCAGGGCGACCCACATATCCAAACACTTCGCGGGGCGCACTACACCATCTTGAAGGAAGGCAACTTCTTGGCTTGGAGTTATTCCAAAACCACGAGCTTCAAATCCAAAATGGGCCTGGAAAAGGAGATTCCACTGCAGTGGAAACTCTACGCTCGTTACGGTGGCAGTTTTTTCAGTACCAAGGGACTCTTGCTGGTGGACGTGAACCGCAGCTTGGCTCTCGAGTTGACCTCAGAGGATTGCGCATGGCGTCAGAGGATTGGCCAAGATGGTGAGTGGCACAAGGTGAAGCCGGTGTTGTTGACTTCGGAAGACAATGCCACCAGTTTCAATGTCTCAGACGTCCGCCAACTTTCCGGCGATGATCTCCTCGGTGCTACGATCATATTGAACATGAACTCAAAACATGGCCTTCAGCCAGTGGCGCGGCTTGTGTCACATTGCAAGCCAGGCGATCACATGGACTTCAAGCTCAACATGTTTCAGAAGAGCGACATCTCTTTCGTGGGTGGTGAACTTGGAGTTGGCCACGAGGCGATGTCCACCGGTGGCACTGGTGAAGTCCACTTTTTGTCTTCTAAACTGAAAACCATGCAGTTGAGGACGGATACCGAGTTTGAGGCGAGGTCTGGGGGCATCCAGGGGCAGGGCGGATTGAAAGGAAAGTGGAATGCTGACGAAGAGAGGGATCCTGTCGCGTTGACCGTTTTGAAGATGTTTCATGGCAAGGCCTGCAGCTGGCAGCGAGTGTTTCACAAATCTTCACAGGTCTTTTTGGAGACAACTGATGGGTCTAGCAAATCCTCGCCTTGTGACCGAAGAGGGTCATGGACCCATGGATTATGATTCGATTCCTGCGCTATCCCTGACTTTGCGTGCGGTGGCCTTGCGATATTATATCAAAGCATATCAAAACACTGTGTTTCGTCCTTTTATTCACCATTTTTACAGGGCATCGCTGTGGCGGAATGTGTCCAGTTCGAGTTGGTCCAATCTCAACCATGCTGCAAAGCCTGGGGCAACAAACAGGTCAGTTATTTTTCAATTAGGCTGCGGATGCAACATTTTGGCCTCAACTTCTCTCCGTCTCCTACTTTCTCTCTAAGCTTGTCTCACTTCACCGGTTTCCCAAGTGAGAATCTCTCACCACATGAGTCTATGCGATGCGGAATGCCAAGCGGAGTCTATGCTGCCACAAATGCGTCCTATTTTGTTCGTAAAGGTGGTGTCCACTGCCCAGCCTCGGAGATTGCTTCCACGCCATCAATGTAGCGCTTTTTCAGCTGGTTGGTCACCGCCACGCTGGACAAGGTCGGTGGCATGGTAGCACGGGTGACGCGCGGAAGCGCGGAAGCGTCGGAATTCCCCTGCTGTCCAAAAGCAAAGGGGCCAACTTGGAATTCCTGCTGACGCAAGTGCCACGCACATGCAATTGCATTCTCTCGAATTTTAGCTGGAGTGGGAAGTCTTTGCAAGCCTTCAAGCCCCAGACGGGCGTGTCTCCACACCCACGTCCGCACGTCCGACTGACGATCAGCTCGCTTAATCGCTTTTCACGCCGCTCCACACGTCAGAGAACGCAAAGAGTGCGAACGACGGCTTCCAGGCTTCAGCTTGGCAACTTCTGACGCTGCACACGTTGCATCTCTTGGAAAGTAGTTCTCCTTTTTGTGTTTTTTTTTTTTCTGAAGCTGCTTTTTCTCTCATCGGCTGGCAACTTTAGTTGCCGGCGCCCCTTCTTCCTGGAACATGTCACCGTGTTTCTCTGCGCCCACCAGAGGACAGAGGGACCAAGGAACTTGGAGGATGATACCTGGAAAACATCCTAAAGAGAAACCAACAGAGGTTGAAGGACCTCATAGACTATCCCATAGGTACCCCAAAATGGTTCTATTTACGGTCACTGGCTACCTCTCTAAAGACAAACGGCGTCTTTTTGCACCCGAAACTTCAAGGCTGAAACCCAAACCCTTAAGACGCAGGGGAGTCGTATTGTAGCGTTGGCTGCGGCACAACATATATACGCAGTGCAAAGCGAATGAACTGTCAGAGCAAATACCATGCCTGGAAAGGATTTTAAGACAACGAAGGGAACCTCTGAAGGAACGAGGACACTTTGGAAACAGACTGGACTCTCTAGGAAATTCCGCAAAACCGATAATTCTATGGAAGGAACGAACTGTGAAGTTTAAACCTTAAACTGTGGTCGCCGTTTGTCCTGAAACGCTGGTCGCGCCACGAACTGTGAAGTGGTTGCCGTTGCCTCGAGTTCCGAATCTGTCAGCTCATTGTGACCGGCCCATTGGTCCCAAACAACCCATCCACCTCTCCAACACTGGGCTCACTACTGAGCCATGTATAGTCCTGTCCAACAACCCATCCACCCATTGGCCAACTAACGTGTACCCCTTCCCAAGTTAGTCTTGTTTGAATGGATCGTTCGTTCGCTTTGGGGCCTATTGCGAGGCCAAGAGGACGTGGCTCGAGTTGGGTGGTAGTGACAGGGCAACTTCCTATTTCGGCACCTTTGGAGCTTCGGCCTCGTTGGCAACAACCATGTGCACCGCCGCAGAGGAAGAAAAGGCAGGAAAGATTTGCGCCAAGCATTTGCCAGGATCTGACTCAGAGGCAGGGTGGAGCTGATTGAAGTAAAAGGCAAAGAGCATGATCCAGCGGAGTAGATTCTAGCGGCAAAGTAGGGGAAGTGTTGATGGGACAAACTGCAGGACAGCCCAAACAGCCTCTTACAGTAGATGGCAACAGAAGACGGGTTCGTAATACCTAGGAGAGACAGAAGGTGGTCTTTAAAAAAACCATGTAGAAAGGATGTGCTGTGCATTTCAGCCCACACATGCGGAGGTTTTGGCCGATTGCATTTTTGATGTTTGTCATGGAGGCGGTGAACTGGCTGCCGTATCTGCTGGTCTGCTGATCTCGGCTTAAAGCAGAGACAGTAGAGGCAATGGGCTTAGACGAACTCACTCCACAGGCAACATGTTTCTGCTGTTGGCATAGGGTGTCTATCTTACTTCTGTTCATGACGTTCTTGCTGCTACGCTTGTCTTGTGGATGTGAGAGCCGATCCATGAGAATAGTTTAACCCCTTTTTTTCTCCGACAAATGGGGGCTTGCAAGTCCCGGTGTTGTCGTCTAGAAGAGAGCTGCAGGAGATGATCGGGAAACATGCCGAAGCCAAAATGACAGTCTTGCATTGCTCTGAACGATCCAAACTGAGCTGCTCTGCACCGGCTCGACACGTTGCACACCCGTTGCGTCCCTCCAGCAAGGGGGAACCCACCAGGCATGCGAGTGATGGCGGAGGCGAGTCATGGCGAGTCTCCGGCCTTTGTTGCGACCGAGTCTCCTTCGTTGCCTCTCGAGCTGGCAGCTGGCGCATTCGACCCAACGACCCAACGACCCGTTGAAACGTCTGACGACCGTCGCAGGAAATGTCGGTCGAAGCGCCCCCCGACATGTCGGTAGAAGCGATGCTCAATGCTCGGTTTGGTTGGGCCTTGGTGTCTAGACCAAGCAATGGTCGGCGGTTTCTGGGGCCGATTCAAGATTCATTTCGAATTCCGCCTGGATCCCTGCCAAGAGTGTACTCGTACCCATGACCAACTGAACATGTCTGAAAAACCGAGAAAGATCTGGAGAGAGCATTTTGTGGATAGGATTGATTCTGTTTCATTGTGCGCAACTTTGGGTGTTTGCACTTTATTTTGCTTGTTGTGTGCGCAGATGCTTTTAGGGTGCGCATGTGGTTTTTTAATGCAAGTATCTTTGTATTGTCAAAGGCTTGCCTTCCTACTTTTGGTACCTTCTCTTCTGGAATCTGCGCGCGCGCGCGCGCTTTTGAGTCTTGCAGTTTCTCTCGTTAGTCACGCGGATCCCGGATGAGTTTGCTTCGTCTCACCTTTTTCTGAAGTTCCTACCCAGTACTAGATGAAGTAGCTACGTTACTCGTTTGAGCAACATGTGGCGCTGAAAGATGGAAGCTCCTGGCTTCCATCGCAGGCTCGTTTTTTTGGTTCCGCTCCGAGACCACAAGTCCAAGCCAGTCTTTTCTGAGCGCGCCCACAAGACTGCCCATTGGGTTCGGAACTCACGCAACACCCACTCGGTTGCGTCGTCGATGTGTCAGCGTTGTTTGCTTCGGGCTGGTATACACCTCTACTCCGAGTCTTTGGATCCTCTCACAAAACCGGTTCACTAGTACGACCGTATCTCATGTCGTTGCATTGCATTCATTGCTTTCCTCCAACCAAATCTGTGTAGCTGCGTGCCAGAGACGAATACCATGTCCGCATTCATTCTTCTTTTTTTGTGTCCTACCTTTGTTGTCGGTAGCCCTTTGCATCGATCTCAGCATAGCCGCAGAAAAGGGTGACACATTCATTACGAGGATGCACATCTCACGGCAATCTGCAGTATTGCGTAGTATTGCGTATGCACGATCAGTTTCTCGCACCGCGCTCGATTTCTAAAGAGCAGCAGCGATGCCATGTCGTCCACACCTTGCCATCAGCGTGGCGCTGTGCATGGCTTGCAGTGGACGTGCTCAGTGGCAAGAAGTGCCAGCTGCCGGGGCGCCATTGAGGCGCGATGAACACACGGCTGTGTTGGACGCGCAGCAGCGGACGTGGATCTTCGGCGGCCGGGATGTGAATTGGGAGAGGCTCAATGACTTGCATTACTTTGACGTGGAGGCCAAAGCCTGGCAGAAAGTGTCCACCAGCAACACCCCCCCCAAGCGCGGTGAGCATACAGCAGTTCTGGATGCACAAGGGTGGATGTGGATTTTTGGTGGTTCGTACTACCATGGTGACACTTGCATGCGGCTCAATGACTTGCACTACTTTGACATTGAGGCACAAACATGGCAAGAAGTCATCGCCACAAGCGCACCCTCCAAGAGGAATGGCCACACGGCGGTCATGGATGCGCAGCAAATGTGGGTTTTTGGCGGATGTGATTTCAGTCCAAGAGCCGGCCCTTGCAGTAGCTGGCTGAATGACTTGCACCACTTCGACGTGAAGGCCATGGCTTGGCAGGAATTCCCCACCAATGCCAACACACCTTCGAAGCGCTCTCAGCACACTGCGGTCCTGGATGCACGACAGTGCATGTGGATCTTTGGTGGCCAAGGTCCCAGTGGCCTCCTCAATGATTTGCACTGCTTTGATCTATCTGCGCAAACGTGGCGCGAGGTTCCTCAAGCCCTTGCAGGCAATGCGCCCTCACAGAGGTGGCGCCACACGGCAGTCATGGATGCGCAGCGCATGTGGGTCTTCGGTGGGCGTGATGTGAACCCTGGCCCGTCCAAAAGCCTGGTGAATGACTTACACTACTTTGACGTGGAGCTTCAGAGGTGGCAAGAAGTCACCGTCAACAACTCAAGCCCAGCACCCTCTAAGAGGTGGCGCCACACTGCCGTCATGGATATACACCAGCAGATGTGGATCTTCGGTGGAGAAGAAGTGGTCGGGGACGGTTGGATCAAGCTTAACGACCTGTACACCTTTGATGTCAAGGGGGCACCCCCACCTGAAACTCCGCCAGCTTCTCTTGTTGAGCTAGATGAAAGAGCTCCTGAAGGCCAGTTGGAGCTTGAGGCATCACAAGCAACCTCGAGTTTCGACGAATCAGCTGTGGATGACATTCCGATGTGGTTGTGGGTCGTTGTGGTGCCCGCAGGGACTCTGTGCCTCTTGGTTTGCTTACGTGTGCTTTGGATTTATCGAGCCAGACGTGCTCGGAAGCTTGCTAAGCCTCCTTTTTTGGGTCCTTTGCCACCCGAAGCAGCAGAATTGGGCGTGGCAGCCACATATTTGGTGAACGTCTTCCCACCCTTGGCCACTCGGGCAGCTGCCAAGAAGAACCCCAATTTCTATGAGATTTGCCCACACTTTGCGCATGGTGAACAAGGCCTTGGCTACAACAAGATATGTCCCAGAGATGGGAAGCCCCACTGCAGTGTTGTGGATGCCTTGGAAGACGGTCTCAGTGGAAAGGTCAGTCATTTCGTCTCGTGGTGCTGGGCATACTCTCTTGAGGACGTTGTCAGTGCAGTGGAAGGATGGCTTCGAAAGTCTGGTGCAAATCCGGACGACGTGTTCCTGTGGATGTGCTTCTTTTGCAACAATCAGTACCGGATCATGGAGGGCTGTCAAACCGGGAGCCAACACCTGCAGTCCGTCTTTGAGTCGCATTTGGCAGCTGCTGGACAGATGCTGCTACTTTTAGACAAGATCCAGCAGCCTGTTTACACTTCTCGTGCTTGGTGTATCTTCGAGAGCTATGTGTGCATTCAGCACGATATCCCTATGACTATCATCCTCCCTGACTCTGCAGAGGCTTCCTTTCGAGACTCCTTTCGAAGTGGTGATGGGATCCAAGCGTTGACTTCCGCTTTGGATGCCATGGACGTACGGCATGCAAAGGCTTCATCAGAAGCTGACGAGCTTTTGATCAAAGGAATAATTAGGAATTCTCTCGGCTTTCACGCGGTGAACACAGCCGTGCGCTCACGACTGGTAGACCAGTTGACGTTTTTGTTCCGTGAGCTCTTGATGCAACAGAATGCAACAGATGCCTCTCCATCATCATAGTATATGTTCATATTGTTCATATTGTGAAGAGGTATAGTAGGGCAGTGGCTCATGGTGATTCAAAGCTCTATGCAGGGGAAGTAAGTGCTTGATTTTCAGCATGACATCAGAAGGGTTGAACATTTAAGTCGGAAGGTTCCACTTGAGTCGGAAGGTTCAAACCATGAGTTGCTAGCTCTAAATTCTCCTCGGCCTCAGAGCAACGCCTTTGAGGCTGTTTTGGATCCAGTCAGATATGCAAAGTGCGTGAACCGCATGCAACTGTTCCAAACCGATTGTTTTCTTGTGCTGAGCATAAGTGTTAAACGAGCCTTCTTGCTGTTTAAGGTTCTGCCAGTGCAATGTTTTGATTTGCGTGTGTGAAATGGGTGTGAGAATAGCGAGGACCTCCAAACACAATCTGGAAGTAAACTAGACAAGAACCCATTGGTTTTGGGGGTCTCCCTATTCTGATACACGCCGAAATGATTGTCCTTCACATGCCATGGAAACATCTACCCTTGGCCAGCTTGAGCCCAAAAGCAGAAGTCAAAGAGGTGGGCTGAATTATGTCTGTCAACATTGACTTGCAATGGGACACTCACACATACACACATGAGCCGGACGAAACTTAAGCTACATGAGCGAAGCCGTACAAAGTGTTTGCGAAGCCGTAGCAAATTCATGGGCAAGCGGCGCCATCAATTCAGAGCCAGCTGCAGCGAAGGAAGACCCAACGCTGGAAGTGGTGAAGTCGTTGACGAGAAGGTCCTGAGATGCCGAACCAGCGACGACAGTTGACTCGAAGGAGACAGAGATGGACAACGACTTCTTATACATCCTTGCTGTCTGCGTGGCAGAGCTCCTAGGAAGGACTTTCTCAAAAGTTTGCAGTCAATATTTGCATACAGCAGTCCTAGCCTGCCCTCAAATCGGATGTACATAGTCCGTGTTATTTTGCTGTTCATTTGACACAAACTACGCAACAACGGTTGACACATTTTGACGCATTTTCTGCAAATCCAACCAACGACACCTCGAAACCGTTGCATTTTTTGTTCTGCGGACCCCAGCTGCAGGATCAAGGTAAGGATCCTGTGCAAAACTCACGCACAGATGCAGCAACCTCCTCTAGAACAAGGCGCAAACATGTGCAACTACCAGAAACTAAAGCAATGCCGACAACGCCCTGATTTACAAGCGCAACACATCTCACCTTGAAGGCCGTGGGTGATGCTGAGCAAACGCTGCTGTTAGATGCTTGTCGGCGGTCGCAGTTCAGTACGTATGTGCGACACTATAGACTTGCTGGCTACATGGGTATGGAGTCTTATGCTGGCTTGCGCCGCCGCAGCATTACTTACGAAGCAGCCCTGCTAGCGCTAAGAACAACCATGACGTGGACTGTATATATGTGGTGTGCATTTTTGTGCAAGCAAGTTCTACAATTTTTTCTGTACTTGGTTCGGCCGTCAGGGACAAGCCCAAACTAGTAGCTAGCGACCACATAAAGACCGAAGCAACTAGTAACAAGCGCATCCACATCCTGTCCGTTGCTGTCCGTAAAATGGTTGTTGGATGTCCAACGATCGTCGACAAACCCAAGTTGCAATGGACATAATAATTGTTTCTTGGCCATTCTGAAATGAACCTGCATCTTCGATGCATTGTTTCGATTATTTCTAGAGGAGCTTGCTCTTTGCGAAGTCCGGAACATGGTCCCTAGGGATCTTGGGCCGGCTACCTCGCGATGGTTTTTGTGTCCTATTTCGTGATCAGATGTGTTGCAGGTACGTACCAAAATCACTGCTGTTCACAGTAGTGTTTGGGTGAAATCTGGCTGTTGGACTCGGCGCCTCGCTAAGTTTCTGCACGTTGGTCAGGTCCAGAGACGCCTTTGGTGCGTGATACTGAGTAAGGCGTGAAGATTGATTTTGGGATGGGGCCGCCGAGTTTCTTGGCAATGCTGCAGTGCTTGTACGATATTTTTTCTTGTGGTCAATGATTAATGCTTGGTTGCTGCAGGCAAAATTGTTTGATTCCAGCAGGAGGCAACAGTTGGCAGACTGGTCAACTCAAAAGTCATAACCACTTAGATCTTCGTCAGGATGTAGCTCCTTTTGCACGCATTCTTATCAAATAGGACTTTGGAACTTGAAAGGCAGAGGTTGGTAGACGCAAGGGGGTGCCCAGCCACAGACTTTGATGATGGTCAGAGATACATGGCCTGGTGATCCATTTCCGCCTCATCTCACTTCAAGATAATAGTGTGTGCGCTTCACCAACAACGCTGTCTCCAATATCCATCCCTTGAATATTGGTCATAGTCATCCTGTCCACCGTCCCATGTAGAATGTTGTCGGCCATCATTCGATTGCCGCCAAAAGTGGACTCCACTGCGCGTGCATTGCCGTTGCTTCCTGACCTTTGGTTCCTTTCCCTTTACCATGATCCACCCAAAGTGTACTGTCCATTGCCACATCAATACAGGAAGCTCAGGAAGCTCTAACACGCTGGCCACCCACAACGCACCCCCAATACTTGCGAGACTGAACGGAACAGTAGCGCCAACATGGTTTTCTTTTGTTTCGAAACATTGGCTTTGTGGTGCACTGTTATGATCCTCAGGTGTTGTTGGCCTACATTTCTGTGCACGTTTCCAAGTCGGACGAAGTTTGGGATAAGGCTACTTTTTCTTCTATTTTCCGTTCTGCAATCTAGCATGTCAGTTATTATAGCAAAATGCTCCATAAGCTCCATAAGAGGTTGTCCATCGGCCAGCAACGAGCATCCCTCCCTGATGAATGCTGAGGCTGAGCAGATGAACCGAGGTGGTTGTAGAAATGTACAGCAATGACTTGGTTGTGAAAGGCAATTGAGTCTGAGTCTCAACTTGTGGTAGATCTATTTCGCCGGTCACCACTGCCAATGCGAGGTTTGAAGCAGAGATGTTGCCAAAAGTATGATCAGCAGCGGGAGTCAACATTCTTGTTACAGGTCATATCTTTCCCCAACCAGTTTACTGTTGGGGTTTTGTCTTAGGAAAAAATAGCTGGCCTCACTGGCTGGCCGTGCCCCTGAACTCTGTGTCCCGGCTTTGTGTCCGGGCCTTGTCCTCCTCTTGTCCTGCTGTTGTCCTCTGGCCGCGCTGGCCAACTCTGTGTCCTCCTCTTGTCTGTCCTCTTCTTGTCTTCCTGCTGTCCTCCCACCGCGCTCGCAAACCTAGTGTCCCTCCTCTTGTCCTGGTGTCCTCCTACTTCTTCCATTTGTCTTGCTGCTGTTCTCCTGCCTTAGAGCGTCCTCTTGTCCGGTCCTTGTCTGGGTCTGTGCGTCCTGCTTGGCTGGGCGCCGGCCTGTCATCGTTGTCGACCCTTCATCACCACTTTGTCCTGGCCTTATCTGCTGCTTGGCAACGCTGGTTTCCCTTTCTCCACCGTTTTGTTCGGGTATGTTCTTGTGTGGTTCTGAATGGGACAGTGAGGCAGCGTTTGATATCATCCGCGGATTTTCTCATGACATATATTCCTTCGTACTTGCGCATGTGACAACTGCAGGAATGAGGAAGCATTGATTGTTGACATTCTTTTTGCTTATATATATATATATATCTATGCCGCATGCCACTCCCAATACAGGCGTGACCTCAGACATTGGAACTCCAGGAGTCGACGTCGCAAAATACCGCTGAAAATGTTGACATAATTTTTGGAAAACAGTGAAGCTGTTTGTAGGAACAATAGAAGAGTGAACGTGGTAGGCAAACATTTTGGCTCAAGATGGAGCCAGATGATCAACGCCCCACTAATATTTGTAGTGGATGGGGTCCGTGACCAACTTGCTGGTTGAGGAGGGGCCATCATTGATATCTTGATCGTTTGGTTCCTCATTGGTACCAGTGAATTGTCAAAACTGGTGGGCCCAGGAGATCATGAAAGAAGATCTTGGGTTTGACTAAATTGTCCTCAGATCAGGAAGACGAGTAAGCATCAATGGTGTCACCACAGACGAGTTGGAAGTATTGAAAACGGCCGTTGGTGTAGCTGCTACATTTGTGTGGATCACTGGAGACCAGGCGAACTTCGCAACACTGAAAGGAACATACGCCGCTGTGGGAGTTCACGACAACATGAAGATCAACGTCGTAGGAGCTTTGAAGGTGAGCGATGTCGAGGACACAGTTCCCCATTTGAGAATCAGTTTCAGAAGCCACAGCCACTGCGGCTGAAGTGACTAGACCTGCTCACCTGGGGCGTCTGCGGGGCACCGACAATATCCATTGTCTTCGCCATTAGAAAGGTGAAGCTTTCCCAGGTGTTGTCCCAGCATGTCCCAGCTTGATGAGTCGGAAATGGACCTGGCTACCGAGACCGAACAGAGAATGTATGCCAGGTAATTACGAGACATTGCTCGGCAAGAGACAACATCCACCAAACCAGATACCAACGAGATTGAAGGCGTTCTCATGTCAGGCTCTGTCCCAAAGCGCTCTTGTCCTTCGACGGCGAAACATTGGCGTCGCCTCCAAGTTGTCGTGATGTGTGCTTAACGACGGATGGTTCTATCAACTCTTGGGCACTTGGGCGCAGAACCGTTCACGCATGGCCACCTCCTGTAGATTTGCCCGCTTCTGTTGCCACGGTGGTCATGGTGCATCTTCACTTTGGTTCTTGTCAAAGGCTCAAAGCGCGCCCTTGTATCTGCTTGATACAACAGAGCCCAGATCTTGTTTTCTGTGGAGCGGGCGTGCAGATGCTCAGCTCTGGATCTATTTCCTTGCAGCGCTCCAAGATCAAGGAACATGTAACATTGATGTCTGGTGGTGCATAGATCCCCTGCTGTGCGAGGCCCCACTCTTCGTGACTCTCGCTCCATTCGGCTGCGCGGGGCATCCTCTATGCGCAGGGCCTCAAAACTCCGTGGTCGTGGCCTGGGGGGGGCTGTTGAAGAAGACACAGGCGATTGGCTTTGGACAGGCGACGCAAGTTAATTATTGGAGATGGGTTGACGGCAATTCGGAAACGCGTGTTGACTCCGCAGCTGGTTGTGAATCGTGCGCGCAAGGGGTTCGATGAGCTTGTGGGCTGCCATCCTCCAAAAAAGAAGCCACAATGGGACCCTGCGCGCTATGGTCAGGCCGCGAAAAGGCGCAGAGCAGAGCGGCGCCCCCGTTTGTCCATTGTTCGAAGAAGCGCCAGAGGCTGGTCCAGAATGACTGTTTGCGCTTCAGAAACTCCTAACATCATTTTTTTCGCAGAGGTGATCCATGGACAAGACTGACAAAGCTTTGAACAAAGAAATCCCAGCGGCTCAGGCGATTGACGCTGAAGACGAGCAGTTGGTGTTTGTTTTGGGCGTCATGCCATCCCGGCTGCGCAAACGCCGCGTGAATGGCAATGTTTTTCTCAAAGCCCATCTACCCACAAGCAGTGTGAGCGTGTATGGCCGAGGTGTCCCAAGTGTCTTTGAGTCAACCGCAAGGAAAGAACTGGAAGGGATGACGCTTCATCTTCGTCCTCCAGCAGCACCTTGCAAACGAAGGACTGACCGCATGGCGTTTGCCGCAGTGTATATATGCCACCTGCATGTGTAGCGACCCAGGGTGCGCCGCGCAAAACGTCTTGTTTTGGAAAGCAGTGAAACTGTTTGTAGGAACAGTAGAAGAGTGACTGATGGTTGCCCAGCTAGATGGTCGACGCCCCGCCAATTTGCACCACGCCCGAAACGCACCCAAATTAGTATGCTTTGCGAGCATGACTCGGGGATGCAACCCAGGGGCGCGGCGCAGCCGAACAGCAACAACCGCAGAAAGCGGAGGGATAGCTTCAAAGGGTGGGTGGATGTTCTTTTTTTAAAGGTTCTTTTTTCACGGACTTGTTACTTCATTTTTCGCAACAAATCCTGTTTTGCATTGCTTTGTGCTTGTGAACTGTGGAAGCTGTACACTTTGTTGGCTCGAAGCTTCCAGTCTTGTTGGGGTTGGGGGCAACGTTCGAGATTTGCAAGACAACACAAACTGGTCGCCTGTGTTTCTCGGGAAGCCTCAGCAAATTCCAACAGCAACGTCTAATCTTGGAAGGAAACATAGATGGAATTTTCGCGTGTCAGGGCAGAAAGTACATGTTGTTCCGTTTTGCTTCGGCAAAATCACCATGTCCGGATTATGGTTGCTCGCGTGGTTGTGGCATTCCCTGTGGTTGCCGAGCCGCTGCGAAACAGTTGCGGAATGCTCTTTTGAATTGGATCAATGCAGGTGGTACAACGAGGCAGACTCTTCCTACCAATGGATGCGATCGACTGGTTCATCTTCCGGTACGGGGCCTTCTTCGGCGCACGCTGGGCAGTATTACCTGTCTGTTGAGGCTTCCTTGCCCAGTTGACCAGACCAAGCTTTGCTTTGACATTTGTTCATATTTGTTCTGCTGTGCAGAGTAGTACTGGCATTTATTGTGGATACCTCATGTAACGATTTTTGTGAAGGGTTCCTCCGAGTTCCTCCTCCTTATCATCGTCAAGTCAGTACTTACTAGCGTGAACATCGCTGTCATCTGCGTCGTTCTCGATGATCCTCATGATCATGATCATTTTTGCAACGCTCATGTGTCGATGATTGTGGACCTTTGACTGGACTGGTATTGTATTAAAAAACCAAGGTGACGCCACCTGCAACGACCCCGCGCGAAACAGATTTTCTTTGAAACGTGAAAACATGTTTTTTCCTGTTTACTGTTTACAGTGGGATTGTAAGATGTTTTTTTCCTGTGGTCCTAAAAAATCAACGAAAGGTGTTGGCCGCCAGACGTCCGAGCTCAAGCAAGAGGAACACGCATTATTTTCTTTTAACGCGCATCAACTACACTTTCCTCATGTATCGTAGACAAAATTACGTTTGCGTGACGAAGTTTAGTCATGTCGTAGTCAACGAAGAAGGTCAGGCGAGAGACAAGACAATGCAGACATGGGGCGCGGAAGGAGGTAGTTTAGTGCGTGCGCACGTAATGTTCCGCTGGGTGATGGGCGTCCAAGTTGAGCCTTGTTCATGGCAGAGATGCTTGATCAGCAGGGCGGTTGAGCTTTGAGAGTGATGCCCGCAAAGGCCACAGATTTGACTAAGCGACTGAAGTAGTGACTGACTTGTACCTCAGTTCGTCGAAGGAGGCCCCGTTCATTCACGAGAGAATGAAGTGACGGTGTCGAAGAGGCAGTGCGGCCAGAAGTGTGATGCTTGAGAGCCGCCAAGCACAACGGGCGCCTAGATTTCGGCCGGTATACTTGGTCTTGGTGAGCGACAAGAGTCGACTCGAGAGCAGTCCGAGCGTGCTCCATGCTGATGCAACTTTGCAGCTGTGGCGTATTTCTTTCGACAGGTATGACATTCCGATTGAGCCTCCATGCGTTGTGTCTGCGCAGCATGTTCGGACGAAGTGATCAATGGCGCTTGTTGCCGCAGGCAAGGCCAGGCTGCTGCATGACTGGGCAGGTAAGACCTGCCAGAAAACAAAGCTCACGAGCAGGGTCAAGGTAGCGCTTCAAGGTGGACAAATCCATACTTCCGTCCCCAACCGGACACGTGTGGGTCTTTGGTTTGAACTCCAGACCACAGAAATCGAGGTGGCTTGGCCCTGGTGATGTTTGGCAGGGTCTCATGAATCCTCGTCTGAGCGAGCAGCCACCTGTTGGGTCTTTGAGGCCCAGTACCCACAAAGAACACATCGATGGGTGGGTGAGGAAGTTGCAAAGAACTTGATCATCCCTCAACGCCTGTAAATCACCCGCATCAAAAGGTCAAGGAATCAATGTGTATCTTTCCACGTGTTTCTACACCTGTACCTTTCCATGCGTACACCTGTTTCTTTGCACTTGCATTCATTAATGCACCTGAACCTGTCCGCCTGCACTTCTACACCTGCAACGATTTTCTGCTGAAGAACTGTAGAGTCTTGATCTGGGACGTTCCTTCCAGCCTTGCCAAAGTTTTTCTCGCGAATAGAGGTTTGAATTTGCCAGGCAACTGAGATGATGCTTGTGTTGAATTGCATACTCAGGGTTTGTTTGTCTTCTTGCAGTGCCAAGTGGTGTTTGCCAAACAGAGTTTGCAGTAGAGCCATTTTCCCTTGTGCTTAAGCCCTTGTAGGCTACGATGACTACAACGCAGGCTGGCCAGAGGAGGTACTCGTAAGTGTTTGATGGTTTTTGGATTGGAGCAAACTGGTCTCGAACCTGTTGACTCTTGGGTTGATGCTGGCTTGTTCCAATTTCGGAGCCGGTCTTGGTCTTGGTCTTGGTCAGGCTGGCAGTGGCACGCAGTTGGAGTCTGTAGGTGCAGGGCATTGCAGCAGTGGTCAGGCGCTCAGCATGTTGAGTTCGTTGATGAGGTGAAACCAACACCAAACATTGTTCTGTACAGGTAGCGCTCATAGTACCGGATGAGTTCCGCGATTGTCTTTTTCTGTCAGAGAATGCGTTCATTGATGCCCATTGCGTTCAATGACAGTGCCGAGTCAAGATCAGGTCAGATCTATAGCAGCTCTGCCTGGGAGCTCGGTCGAACCTCCGTGGGCGTCAAAGGGTTCGACACGCCTGAGTACGAGGCAGCAACCTTGAACCTTTGACAAGTGGAACAATTTGCGTTGCCTGAGTTGCTGCTTTGGGTTCCACGTTGATTTAAGGGGCTTATGCCCAACCGCGGGCCAGCAGTGGGCACAGTGGCAGGCGGCAGGGGCAAACAGGTGAGACTTGTTGTTGTTGTTGTTGTTGTTGTTGTTGTTACCGTTGAGGGAATCTGTTGCCATGAAGCCGGCTCACCAACGCAGCCGATGGCTCTTGTACATCTCTGCGAACTGGATGAGGAAAAGTTGATGCTCTCAGACCTTGGTTACATTGTCGTTCCATGATCACGGCGTTTAGGCAGCCCACAGGTCCTAAACCCTTCTTTATATAGACTCAACGAAACTGCACTTCAACTGCCTGAACTTCACGGACCGGATTCGAGTACCCACCTTCACAGGCCCTGGCCCTGTTCTTGAGGTCAGCTGGAAGGAAAAACATGAGGTCATTGCGGCCATAGCTCGTTTGGGGACCTCCTTGACCTTGCCCAAGAGACACAGGACGTATGTGTTTGCGTGGTGACAATCAAAGCTGAGAGGAGGTGTATGGCATTCCTGAGTTCTCTTTTCACGGCGTGCTTTTTTGGACCTTGCCATGTGATGCCCGCCGCCCCTGATTCAGATGCTGATTCAGATCTTGTCAACTCAGGATTGGATGACCCCACGCAGGAACCGGCCCTGGAGGACACCAAGAAAATCCTTCACAAGACGTCAACCTCTCCACCGGAAGGGCGTGACCCAGAATCAACATCTACATAGTCACCTCAGAGATGTCATTGACCGGATGTCGCGAGCTGTCTGCTGGGGCGTAGTCGAGCTACAACTACCCGACTGCAAAATTAGAAGACAGAATCGGAAAAACAAGACGTCGTCAAGAGAGGGTACCAAACATATTGATTCTTCGATAAGATTTACCGACCCAAAGGCTAAAGCCTATAATGCAGCCAATGTATTCATCATCGGGGGGGTCAGCGTACCCACGACAAAGGCTCGGTCAATTGTTTGTCCAACGATACCTCGACCCATCTTCCACACCCGGCAATGCAGCAGCCCCCAAACAACGTGCTTCACCTGCTTCTAGAATCATTTCCCCGCCCCAACCGCAACCAAGCTTTTTGCATGGCGTAGCGCGGTTCTGTCGACTATTGACAGGAGTTGCCTGGGTAAGGCGACAGACCTGGGCCGCAAAACCCCAGTCTTTTCGAAAGCGCGCGCAGCACACCTGGCCGCCCACGTCTGTCTAAATGGCTCAGCGATTCACTTCGGCAAGGATCACCGAGCATCGCCCTTGCCCTTGCTTGCAAGCCGGGGCCAGCGTCCTCCTGGCCGTACTGTTGCGCCTCGCACTTCCAAACTTCTGCGGCCTCAGCCAATAGTCCTTCAAGACCAGGACTGTCGTTCTCTTTTGGCCCCACTTGCGCTTCCTGCTTGTTCTCCTTCCTAGAAGTCGTAGCTTTCGTGGACATTTTTTGGTCATCTTCTGATGCGTTGCCACTGATTTCAGCGAAAAATGCGCTGCGTTTCCGGCCAACCAGGTAATAGCCGGTCACCGGCTTGATTGAAGTCAAACACTGACATTCTTCACGAAGCGCTTCAAAACAACAGGGTGTTACGGTTTGGTTGGCCTATGTGTGAAGGGGTTGGTTGGGATTCTGACACCGATGTGTCGGAACATTGAATAAATGCTATGAAGCGCCGGCAGATGTTAAACAGCCAAACCCAACCCAATACACCCAACGCGCAAAACATCGGCAAGAATATTCATTCTGGACACCAAGCGGACAAGCGCGTCAGCCAACAAGTCGAAATACGACGCTCTCAAACACCCAATCGCCATGGTCTTCGTCGCAGAAACAATCTACATCTGCGGCCATTGCCGCAGAGAAGATTGCGCAGTGCTTCAAGCCAATAGCGCTCGCTCATTGCCAGAATTGAGCCCGAAAATCCTGGGATCAACGCGTGTGCGCAACGATGCGATTCGCCTGTGACCAGCTGCCTCACCTGGACGCCCCACAAATGGCGGTGGAATCTCTGGCACCTCCCGGTCTAAGCCGGGTCGGCGGATATTGTTTGTGGACGCTGGCATGTTGCAAGCCAGGCGTGGGTCCAGGAAGCGTGGGCGAAGTGTGTGGCGAAGGACGCTGGCGCCAAGTACGTGAGTGTTTGGACGGACGCTGGCTACAGGCGCAGACGGCGCAGAGTGTTGCTTCAATTTGTTGGGTGTCTGGCACGGGTGAGTGTGAATCTTTTCAAGAATTAGCCAACAACCAACTGCCTGACGAGGTGCTACACGGCAACCGCTTGTGATCCCAACGGCGCCTCTAGCACGAGATCATGGGAATCAGTTCAGGTTTGGTGCCGACAGTGCCGACGGCTTGTTGCATGGTTCTGGGTGTTTTGCGCAGTTGGCTGTGTCAGCGTAGTGTTTGGTTCTGGTTTTTGTTACGGGCCTTTTCGTGCCATAATTATTGGGAAGGTGTGTAGGTACAGGCGCGTAAAGACAGATGTACAAAAAATTGTTCAAAATGCTGGATATGTTTAGAAGCTCCCTTAAGGCGGCGGGGGCCTTGCAAAGGCTCACGAAAAGTGGTGCTCTGCGGAGATCGCGCGCGTCGGGCGTGAGAAGCTAGACTTCGCAGTAAACCTAAAGCGCCAGGCGTCTTAGCCCTGGGTTTGTGAATCTGTTTACTCTTGGGTTGATGCTGGCTTTTTCCTTTTGGAGTTGGTGTCGGTCTTGGTCAGGTTGGCAATGCCATGCAGTTGGAGTCTGTAGGTGAAGGGTCTTGCAGCAGTGGCCAGGCGCTCAGTATGTTGAGTTATATAGCGCCAAGTATTGTTCTCCACGCCTCACATGGTTCATTGGTGTCCATTGCGTTCAATGACAGCGCCGAGTCAAGATTCAAGATCAGGTCAGATCTATAGCAGCTCTGCCTGGGAGCTCGGTCGAACCTCCGTGGGCGTCAAAGGGTTCGACACGCCTGAGTACGAGGCAGCAACCTTGAACGTTTGACAAGCGGAACAGTTTGCATTGCCTGAGCTGCTGCTTCGGGTTCCACATTGATAATCGGGCTGCCGCCCGTTGCTGCTAACCCCGGAGAGGATGAAGCGACTAGTCTCATTCTGGGCGCAGCGCGGACACGCGCATCAGCCAACAAGTTCAGATGCGACGCTCTAACAACCCACCCTTGCGTGTGTGAATCGCCAAGTGCTTGAATAAACCAACATGGCCTTCGTTGCAGAAGTCAGAACCTAGTGTTGACCAGCGTCATTTTCACGTTCTCCAGTAGATGGCGCGCTGCGTGGAGCCTGGGCAAACGCTCCCATTTGCGGCCATTGCCGCAGAGGAGAATGCACGGCGCTCCAAGCCATTAACGGCTCCCCGTCCGCGCGCGCAATGATGCGATTCACATTCAGTTGCGCATCCTGCGCGTGTGGGGATTTCCCACCAAAACAGTTCACTAAAGAAGACAAAGGGCTCAGTTCGTTCAGGAGATTGAAGGAGGGTTCCTTCAGCAACGCGAGGATTCCGAGATTCAATATGTGCGCGTACCATTTGACCTTCCAAGCCAAGCGCTGCATGCAGAGTCCTTCGGGTGTCCACCCCCCAAAAAGGTATTACATACATAATACCTGATGGTTTCAGATGTTTGAAAGCAAGAAACCCATTGGTTTTTGCGCGCAAGCGCGTGCGAATGTTGCCGCTACCTGCTGGTCTTGTTCTTGCCGCTGCTCGTGCTGCTCAGCCTGCTGCTTTTGCTGTTGTTACTCCTACTGGTGATCTTGCTGTTCAACCGTTCAACCCGTTGCTCTTTTGGTGGCTACTGCTGCTGCTGCTGCTGCTCCTGCTGCTGCTGCTGCTCATCCTTCTCCTTCTCGTCCTGTTGGTGCTGCTGCCCTTGCTGCTGCTCTTGTTGCTCCGGTGGTGGTCTTCCTGCTGGTCTTGCTTTTGTTGTTGCTCGTGCTGCTATCTGGTGGTTCCGCTGCTGCTCTTGCTCTAGCCGCTCTTGCCTTTCCTCCTGCTGTTCTCTTGCTGTTGCTACTGCTGCTCTTGCTGCTCCTGCTGCTGCCTCTGCTGCCGCTCTGGGTGCTCTTGCTGCTGCTGCTGCTGTTGCTGCTGCGGGCGCTGCTTTTGCTTTTGCTCCTACTGCTGCTGCTGGCGCTGCTCCTGCTGCTGCTCTTGCTGCTCTTGCTGTGCTGCTGCTGCTCTTACCCTTTCTTCTTCTTCTTCTTCTTCCTTCTTCTTCTTCTTCTCTAGTTGTTGCTGTTGCTCTTACTGCTGCTCTTGCTGGTCCCTGCTGGTCTTGCTGTCTTGCTGCTGCTTCTCCTGCTGCTGCTGCTTTGCTGCTTCTGTTGCTTTTGCTGCTGCGGCTAGCGCTGCTGCTGCGCTCTGCTGCTGCGCTGCTGCTGCTGCCGCTGCCGCCTGCCGCCGGCTGCCGGCTGCCGGCTGCCGGCTGCTGGCTGCTGGCTGCTTGCTGCTGGCTGCTTGCTGGTGGGTGCTGGCTGCTGCTGCTGTTGGGGATGCTGGCTGCTGCTGCCGGCTGCTGCTGGCTGCTGCTGCTGCTGCTGCTGGCTACTGCTGCTGCTGGCTGGTGCTGGTGCTGGTGCTGGCGCTGCTCGTGCTGGTGCTGCTGGTGCTGGTGCTGCTGCTGCTGGCTGCTGCTTGCTGCTGCTCTTGCTGCTTCTCCTGCTGCTGTTGCTGCTGCGGCTGGTGCTGCTGGCGCTGCTGCTGCTGCTCCTGCTGCTGCTTCTGTTGTTGCTCTTGCTGCTGTTCTTGCTCGCGCCGCTGACCACCTGCTGTGGCACCTGGCCACGCCGCACGAATGGCGGCAGAAAGCTGTCACAAAACGTAAATGATAAATGAATGGAATCAATGCAATCCCGCAAGTGCTGGTCTCTGCGCCTTCTCCGGCCCAAACCAGGGTCGGCGGATATTGTTTGTGGTTGCTGGCGTGTTGCAAGCCAGGCGTGGGTCCAGGAAGCGTGGGCGAAGTGTGTGGAGAAGGATGCTGGCGCCAAGTACGTGAGTGTTTGGACGGATGCTGGCTACAGGCACAGACGGCGCAGAGTGTTGCTTGCGCGGGCGAGTGTGAATCTTTCCGGGAATCATCAAACAACCAATTGCGTGACGAGGTGCTACACGGCAACCGCTTGTGATCCCAATGGCGCCTCTAGCACGAGATCATGGGAATCAGTTCAGGTTCGGTGCCGACGGTTTGTTGCACGGTTCCGGGTGTTTTGCGCAGTTGGCGCCACGGGCCCGCAGGGCAACTCCAGTTGTTTTAAACCCAGTTGGCCTCCGAAGCGTGCCACGATCCTGCGCTTTGCTCCTCATGATCACCCACTCCTTGGCTTCTCACCCTTCTTCCTCACATTGGATTTCGTTTCCCCATAGGTTTCCCTCTTCATATGCTTTGGTCTCCAAGATCTCCTTTTCTTCCCATCACCTCCTGTTTTCTTTGATACCTTGTTTGCAATGCCGCCAATGGTTTTCTCATTCAAGCCAATTGACCAGATTGAGCAAATTGCCTGACGCTGTGAGCCTTTTCCTCATAGCAGGTTTTTGCTCAATGTTTTCATCAGTGGCGATGACAGTCCCGTCATGAGCTGCAGGACTGAGGAACTTCTTCATGCCCAATTGCCTTTCTTAGTCGATGAATCAAATTCTCCCACGCAACCCTCTTCTTTTTCCAATTCGTCCCAATCAAGCAAAGAGAGTATCACCATATTAAACGGTTGCCCAAAAGGCTCATGAAATGGATTACCATAGTTTTCGCTTCACTGTCCTTCCTATCCAAATTTTCCGAATCAAACCACTGACCGGACAATTGCTCATACGCTTCAAAAGGCTCACCAAATTAGCGTCACTTGCCTCAACTTGCCCTCATACACCTCGAAATATCATCAAATCGAGCGTTATCCTCTTCATACTCCTCAATGTCGCTCATGTTTTCATCACTCATGCCCTCACCAAGCGCGCCATACTTATTCCAAGTTGGAATAGAGAATGTAGACATCCTGCTCAATGCCATAATGCCATGGATACAATTTTGCTCTGAGATTGATACCATTACTGGTTTCTTGCGCCCAAAGTCTCCATGCACATATACTATATGGTAATACACGATGCACATATGGTACTCACAAGTGTCAAGCATTTGGTAATACACCAACTAGTGATATATACATGCTGATGGTCAAACGTAGTGTGCGCACCATCCACCCACTACCAGTCCACCAATCTCCTGGCGTCACCAACCTCCACCAGTCCTCAGAAACTCACCCACGTCTTTTTTGGCTGCGGGAGCGAAATACCTCATCAGCTCAAGCGGAGTTTGCCTCGCCGTATGATAGTTCTCATGAACCAATGGTCCCATGAGCGTTCCAAGGCCCCATCAATGCGTTCAATCTTGAGAGAGGATCGCAGATGTTAGAGGCATGAAGCTGACGCAAAAAATGGCGGCTCAACAAATTGTGCATCCCTCATTGTCCTGGGTATGTTCATCGGATCTGGGGGGGCGCCGCGAAAAGTATCATTGCGCACTTTTTCGGACATAGTTCTTTTCCGTCCCACACACACACACGCTTAGATATAGAGCTCGCAAGAGCAAGAGTCAGGGGCAAAGATCCAGTGTTGTTAGCGCTTTAAGTCTAGTTGCTGCATTACCGGTCTAGAGCGCTGAAGCCTGGACCTGCAAAACAGTCCTGTGAGGAACTGAAAGGAGAGAGAGTCCAAGACAGTTTTGTTTATAACCATAAATAATCTGACGGCTCTTGGTCAAAAAGCAAGTACTTCCCGTGCGATCAGGTAGCTTCGTTGGACGTGGCGTCAGGAGAAGCGAAGAGCAGAAGATGAACTCTCACTTGGAGATCACGCCCCATCAAGTGCCAATGAAGAGGACCTCGCGATCAATCATGACACGTTGTTGCATGATAGCCTGAGAGAACCTACTAGTGAGAAGTAAGTCCCAGCACCAAGTCTAAGGAGAGCGCCAGAGTCAAGCCCTAAACGAGCAAGCAGTGGGAAGAAGTTGAAGAAGAGGCGCCTAAGAAGATGCCAAAAACATGCCCCATAAACAGCCTCGACGAGAACCTGATGGAGGAGAAGAAGGGGGAGAAAGTGACAGGCTCGGTCGTCGGTAAGAATGGTGAGGATGGTCTTGGAGGCGAATTGCTGGAAGATGGAGACGAAAGCGTTGAACTTCCAGATCAACCACCAGGGCTGAGTCCTGAAGAGTTGGCTGGCGGTGAGGATGAAGCCACAGTGGAGGAATTGCAGAGGATGATTGAAATGGGGGTGTTGAGGAAGCCAGAAGTTGAAGGTGAAAACATGGAAGAAATCCCATTGCTCGCAACAAAGCTTGTCATGGATTGGAGGTGGTGTGATCAGCGTTGGAAAAGACGTGCTCGCCTGGTTGCGCGTGACTCTGCGTGGTGTGACCCAAACCGGACTGATGTCTTCACGCCTGCAGGGGCCATTCATTGCTGAGATTGGCGCCAGCAATCTGCCAAGTGAAAAGTTGGAAGATCATCACGATCGACGTGAAGGATGCCTACTTGATGTGCAGTCAGCGAAAGAAGGTCAAGGTGGCGCTGGACAAGGCCTTGGCAGGGAGGTTGAACCTTCCACAAGAGCGGTTGCTTGGACGAATCCTTCCAGGACAGGGTGCAGCCCAGTGGCTCCGGGTGTTGAAGAAGTGCCTACTTCAGGCAGGGCTGATCCCATGTCCTGACGCCTGCTTTGTGGAGGGGAGAGCAATTGATCATGTGGGTAAACATGATCATTGGCGGAACAGATGAGGCAGTAAAGGTCACTGACCGCTTGATGAAGCGGTACAAGGTTTCGGCCGAGGAGGGTGAGAACTTGAGTTTCCTCAAGAGGACCATCAATGTGGATGCTTCGACAAAGAAGGTCATGGTGAACGAGAAGTACGCCCACAACTTGGTCAAATTGATGAGCCCTCTGAGAAGATCGAAAACAGCAGGAACAGTGGAGGTTGACGGAGCAGGGATGAAGGAAAGTGATGAGAGGAGGAATATGGATGGGTTGGCGGTGGGAACTTTGCTCATTGTGGCTGGAGATCGTCCAGACATTCAATTCCAGGTGAAGGAACTGGCTAGCAAATGGCAGAACCCCACAGAGAAGGCATGGTTGAGTTTGAAGAGGCTTGTGGGATACCTTGCATCGACAATGGACACACACGTTGTCGCGCGCAGTCAGACAAAGAACAAGTCCTTCAGGCAAGAACAAGAGGTTTGACAACAGTGCCATGTTCGAAGAGCAGGAGGATGCATGGTTGGTGGAGGTCACTTGCGATTCTGACTGGTCAGGCAACGAAGCAACAAGGAGCTCGAAGTCCTCAGGTTGCATGTTCCTAGCTGCAAACTGGGTGCATGCCTATGCAAGGACACAGAAGAACATCAAGCTTTCGAGCGCAGAGTCAGAGTATGTTGCGCTGGTGTCCGGCGCGTCAGAAGGTTTGTCGCTGAATGCGGTGATCGGGCACCTCACTCAAGAGAAGGTGGTGTTGTCTATGGTGACAACAGTTCAAGCCTTGCAATAGCTCAGAGAAAGAGTAGGAAAGTTGAAGCGCCTGCGTGGACGACTCCTATGGCTACAGGAACGGCAACGTCGAGATCTAGAGCTGAGGAAGCTGGACACGGCCACAAATGCAGCTGATCTTGGAACTAAGTCATTGGGAGGCAGGAGAGTGAATATGCTAACGTTCTTGACAGGCTTTACAAATGAGGAGAACGACCTAGGCAAACTGGGAGAAAGTGAGTGGCCAGATGGGTGGATTGCAGCCCATTACGGGCCACCAATGGTGCCAGATGAACCGCGCCTGAGAGGCCGCAAGAAGAGAGTGGAAGTGAAGATGAAATGGAGCCACGAGATGGCGGCGGCGGTGAGAATGAAGAAATGGAGGAGCCTGAACCTGAGAACTGAGTAAGTGCACCTACTATGGTGAACGCTGAGGGAGTTCAAAGGTCAACTCTACGAGCGTGCCTTTGAAAGGCAGGGTGTAAACACGCGCCCAGACTTGCGGACGACCTATAGGCTCAAGCTTCACAGGAAAAGGCAAAAAACAACAAGGAAAAAGATGCCGCAAAAAACACCGGAAAAAAGGAAACGGCGAAGGAAATTTGCTAGGTTGTTTCAGGAAAACGCTGGAAGTTGTTCAATGCGCCCGCCAGCAAAAATCATGCGAAACATGGTTTCTTCACAGCCTGCAAAACATGATGTTTCTTTTGAATTACGCGGACAACAATCTGATAATTTTGGTTTACTGATATTTCATAGTTTTGACAGAACTGATGGTTTGGAAATGAAGGTTGTGTGATGTGTGGGCTGTGCGATATGTTGCATTTATTGTTGTTATTTTTCTTCACACCTATACAGTTTTTGTTTGGCATGGATGGGTATTTTTTGAGCGTACCAAAGAGTTGCAGTACCAAATCCAATGCCAAAAACAATTGTATTTTAATAAGTTTTCCCGAATGCGTAGTGAAGGGTTCCCGTTTATAGTTGGGGGTCTGGGGGTTGGAGCTGTGTTTGCATGGCTTGGGTCGTCTGTCGTCGTCTGTCGTGGTCTGTCGTCGTTTGTCGTCGTTGTTGCGTCTCAAATTCGCTGCCATTGGGGGAAGCTTGTGTCACGCGTCAGTTTGCGCCGCTATTCCATTGTGATTTGCGTGACAATGACATGTCGCGCAAGAAACGTGATGCATTTCGCTGCGCAGGCGCAGCGTTTTGTGAGATCTGCAGATTGCTGCGCAGTTCCATTGGGATTCGCGTTTGGAGAGTCGTGTTTTTGGGGTGTTGGATGCGGCCGTGCCATTGGGATTTGCGTTTCAGGGTGTGGCATCGAAGCGATTTTGGTGGATGGGAGTGTGCTCAGAACGGGCCGAAATCATTCCAAACGCGTGGTGTGGTGCAAATTTTGTTGAAGCTCACATGAGATGATCTTGTCACTTTTCGTGGCAGGCGCAGGACTTTGCGCGGGTTTTGAGGCGTGGAAGTGCGATTCTCGTGGCAGGCGCAGGGAATCGTGAGGTTGCGAGTGACGGAGGTGACATTTCGTGGCACGCGCAGTACCTTGTGCGCGTTAGACGTGTGGACGCGGAAAGATTCGTGGCAGGCGCAGGGAATCGTGAGGTTTGAGTTGTGGTAGAGGTGAATGTCGCTGTCACATTGGGATTGGCATGTCAGCGGATGTTGCTTGGAGGGGCTGGAATCGCGAAACTGCTTGGCAGGGCTGCGTGATGTGTGTGCTCCGATGGGTGTTTCCGCTTGACTTTTGGAGGAAGTCTCGCACGAAACGCTCGTTTTGCAGACTTTGACGTGTGAGTTTTTGAGGAAGTCTTGTACGAAACGCTCGTTTTGGAGACTTGACGCGCAACCCTCTGCGGAGATCGTGCGTGTCGAGTGCGCGAAATACAGGCGAGAGTGCGATTTGTCCCATGCGCGCGCAACCCTCTGCGGAGATCGTGCGTGTCGAGCGCGCGAAATGCAGGCGAGAGTGCGATTTGTCCGGCGCCCGCACCACCCTCTGCGGAGATCGTGCGTGTCGAGCGCGCGAAATGCAGGCGAGAGTGCGATTTGTCCAGTGCCCGCGCAACCCTCTGCGGAGATCGTGCGCGTCGAGCGCGCAGCGCGCGAAATGCAGGCGAGCGCTGGCGACTTTGTAGTACAACTTTAGTACGCGGAGTATCTGGGGAGGTGGAAGATGAGAACAGACTGGTGACTTGGTAGTACACCTCTAGTACGCGGAGCAATCTGTGGAGCTGGAAGCTGAGAACGAGTGTCCCACAAGAGTGTCCCGCAACAGTGTCCCACTAGAGTGTCTCACAAGAGTGTCCCTTAAGAGTGTCCTACACAAGTATCCCACAAGAGTGCCCTACAAAGTGACCCACAAGAGTGTCCCGCAATAGAGTGTCCCACAAGAGTGTCCTACAAGAGTGTCCCACAAGAGTGACCCGCAAGAGTTTCCTCCCAGAGTGTCCCACAAGAGTGTCCTACAAGAGTGTCCCACGAGAGTGTCCCGGAAGAGTGTCCCACAAGAGTGTCCTACAAGAGTGTCCCACAAGAGTTTCCTACAAGAGTGTCCCATAAGAGTGTCCCACAAGAGTGTCCTACAAGAGTGTCCCACAAGAGTTTCCTACAAGAGTTTCCCAAATGACTCACAAGAGTGTCCTACAAGAGTGTCTCACAAGAGTGTCCCAGAAGAGTGACCCACAAGAGTGTCCTATAAGAGTGTCCCACAAGAGTGTCCTACGAGAGCGCCCCGTAATAGAGCCCACAAGAGTGTCCTACAAGAGTGTCCCAGAAGAGTGTTCCACACGAGTGTCCTACAAGAGTGTCATTTGGACATATGTAGTTTTTCGAACGTGTTTGCATTCGGGTTCGTGGGTTCCATCTTGTTTGTCCCAATAAACCCAAACAGTTGCGTTTTGGGCCGGTCACCATTGACAGTGAAGAATGTTCACTGTAGATGATGGGTACCAAAGCAGGCTATTAGAGCCAATTTGGTTCAAAAACCGGAAACAACAAACATTCATTCAAACGCGTGTTGTGAAGGTCCATAGGTAGGTTCAGAGCTAACCATTGAGACTTCCATAGTTCAATTCAGGTATTGAACCTGAACCTAACTAACCATTGCGATTCCCACATTTCCATCGTTAAGTTGAGTTCGAGTTCTGAACTTATTTGCTGAGATCTGTTGAATTTTCTACCATTAAGTTCAGAGTCTGTTCAGGATCTGAACCTAACAGTTTTTGCGTTGCTATATAAGTAAGTTCAGATTCTGCGCCTGTACCTGATGATGCACTCATTCTAGACCATACAGTTTCTTTCTTCGCAAGTAACTTTGTCACACCAGGAAACATTTACATTGTCCAATAGATTGGAGTTTGGTTGTCCGAAAAACTTGGACGATCATCAATGATTGGGGTTTGCCTTTTTTTCTTTGAAGAACTGCTCACCAATTGATGATCAGTGTAGATGTAGCAGTAAAGCGCACAATTAAATTGTGTTACTTTATGAGGCGCGCAATGGCTTCTCAGAGGCAATTCCTTTTCCTTGTTCCTTGTCCGTTCCTTTTTGTTCCTCGTTCTTTCCCTTTCTTTCAACCTTTTCCCTGTTCCTTTCTGTTGTTCTATTCCTTTGTTTTATTCCTTTTCCTTGCTCTCATTCCTTCTCCTTGTCCTTTACTTTTCCTTTTCTATGTTCCTTTCTCCTTTTCACTCTCCTGTTTCCATGTTCCGTTTCTAGTTTTGTTTTTTGCAAGCGTCCTTTTTCGCGTTCCAGCCAGTGACGTCGCTGTAAATTCGATCCAAGTTTTTTTTTATTAAGACAGATGATTCTTTTTTGCCATTCTCCTTTGACTTGGTTGAACTGCTGTCCTGCAGCCTGAGCAGCTTCTCAATGGTTGCGTAAGGCCGGAGCAATGGGCCCACCAAAACGTACTCTCAAACAAAGTTTTCTCAAGACGCCCGATTTGGCCTTGGTCAGGGCCCGAAAAGCTCGAATTTGACGCCGTGATAAGCCCTGTGATCGATTCCTCCGAGGTCCACGGCGAGATTTCTGAAGGCGCCAGATTTGAGATGTTCAGTGAGCAGAAAGCTTAAAGTTGACACGTTGAGAAGGCGCCCTTGTTTACATCTGGCGAGCCGTATCCAACTCACCTTTTATTGTCTTTGTCTTGTTTTGCTCTTTTGAGAAACGTCCCTGGGCTCGAGCCCTCCCAGGTTTTATTTTAACTTGGAAAAAATAATTCGACCAGACGACCTACGAATTTTTATATATAGCCCAGCCAGGTTTATTTGCTCCGTGTTCCTTTACCCCTTTACCTTGCGTGTATTTTGGTCCTTTGTTTGTTTCCTTGACTTTGTGCGTATTTTTGTTCCTTGTCTTTTTACATTTTCATTGCTTTTCCTTTCCCTTGTCCTTCAGTTTTCTTTTCTGGTTTCTTATTCCATGTTCCTTTTTCCGTTGTTTTTTGTCCTTTTCCCTTCTTGTATCCTTTCCTTTTATTTGTTCCTCTACCTGGTCCGTTTTCGTTTTCCTGTTTCTTCACGCTCCTTTTCGATTTTTCCTTTTCCCTTACCCTTCTCCTTTTTGCTTATTCGCCTTTCTCTTTTTCCTTATCCATTTTGTGTTTGGGCACAAGCATATTAATTCACCAGGCTTCCTGTTCATATTTCTTTTGGGAATCCTTTCAAGGGCTTCAGAATTCTGTGAAGGATGGATTACATGGGCAGTGACTCACCGGGAGAAAGCTTTACACCTCAGATGCCCGCACTGTTTCCAAAAGAATGTGATCCGACTCTGACGTCAGCCTTGCTTGCGACAAGTTGTCGATGGTGGATGATAGCAGTTAAATTGCGGTTGCGACAGTAGACCGTGTCAGAAGGGTTGTTGTGGGAGGCCTTTGAGCCACGCTGACTGTTTTAAATTCCTGCCAGCAGCAGCGCCAGCCTGCGCCCTAGCTACGTTTTGCAGTTTCTTAAAATTTTAACCTGGTTTACGACCCCCATTCCTACCGACAATCTAAAATGGGTGTGTGGCTAACCACGTTTTGTCTTTAATGCGTCTTAAGTAAAGTGCGTGTTGAAACCTGTGCACTATGGCTGTTCCACACATTGCAATGTGGCTACTATTTCAAATTTCCACTTTGCCTTTTCTTACATGTTACATTTTTGTGCAAACGGGGATGGTTTATGTAAAGCGGATGTTTTCCTATAGTTCACATGTAGGAGATTTACAAGCGGGCCGCCACCAAATTTGCAATAGCAACATGTTGACCGGCCACATGCTTTCCGTCGCAGACACGACCTGCATGATGCGCGCATTGTTTCCATGGGGTTCCATGACATGGTTCCATGATCCGCGCGTGAACTTATGCTTTGTTTTCTGTTTAATGTTTACACGCGTGTGTTCTTTCCTGAGTTCGTGGAACATGTACACGGTAGCCTTGGCGTCACAAGGTTTGTGTGGTTCGCGCCTGACATGGCGTGAACTAATTAGTTCGTGGACTTGTGGACACGTCTGTGGCCCCCACCATGACAGTGGCCACTGGCCACTGGCCTTGTACCTCAGCAGAGAACAATACAACTTCACAACAAGGACCACTGCGAGCAATTTACGAACCACATCACACTAGGCCAGTTTGTGCAACCCGACCTCAGCTCAAAGCGCAAACCAGACCATATCATAAGGGACTGCGCCCAACATCAATGCCAAATCTGCAGCAACAAATTTGCACTGAACGTTTTGCCATTGCAGTGCGTCAAAGCAGCGACCTCAGCTCTTTATCGAAACAAATCAGCAACATCCTTGTACAGAAACGGCGCCGCTTGAAGAACATGTAGAGAAACGATCTCTGCGCACCTCTACTGCAGGTACCAAACTCATACGCCTACCTATACTCGTACGCTGACCTATCCATGGAGTCGGACTGGATGTTCAGCTTCTGGTACTACATGTTCGGCAGTGCGACGCAAGAACTTTCTCTTCAAGGGCTTTCCCACGGCAGTTACACGGCTTTATGGGACGCAGCTGGTCATCAAGGGCCGGCGTGGCGGGATGCGTTTGTGGTAGTGCCGAGTTCCGTCTCTCAATTACGTATTGCGGCAGTCGTTGGGAGCAGCGACATCGCCATTGATGAGCTTGTGGCGCAACTTGGCGCCGGTTTTTGAGTTACTTGTGCCACTATCAACATGTTTGGAGCAATGGCACTTTTTAGATTTTTAACATCATCCGTCTTCGATCCTTTTGGAGAAGCTTGAGATGGTCACGAGGCATATGGTAATCGCGCGATCAGCTTGGAAAGTAGGTACCTGCATCTTCCTAGGGTTGCATTTTTTTTGCCTCTACTGGAAAAAATGGTTCTTGGAATTGGCGGCGGTTTTTCCATTTAGCGGCAGATTTGTTGTTTTCATGTTTTTTCACATCTAGCTGCTCAAGAGAAGCAGTGAAGCCGTGTCAATCATACATGAAACACATGTTTTGACACCTCCACCATCCCATGATTGAGCCCAACTCTTTTTTGAATCACAGCAGAGCGAATGATGCACTGGATCCATGTTCTCTTGGAGATCTTCATCTCCTGGCGGTGGGCCGGGCTTGTTTACAACAATGGGTGGCGAGTTCATTTGCTATCATGTGGCAATGCAATATGTGATAACATATGCACATGCAGCATCATGCAGCTGGTTTTTGAAATCGACGCAAGGCTAAATCTGACCTTTTTCGTGGCTCAAAAGAACAACAGTTGTGACAAGGTGTTTGTGCAAACCTCTCTCCAGTGCTAGCCACTAGCTCTCACGATGGCTTTGGTCAAGCGTGAGCCTCTCAAGCCAGATGTAAAAGTGGAGGGGGGAGCTGAGAAGGCGACACCAGAGCCACCAAAAACAAAAGCACAGAAAGTAGAAGACTTTTCCTTGGCCCTGGAACTTGAGAACTGCAAGGCCGTGAGGACGGTTCTAAGGGAGGAGGGTGCCCTCATCCGCTGGCCTTCCAAAGAGCTTGAGAATGTCTACACTCTTGAGTGCATTGGCCTGAACATTGGTGTGATGTCAGTGGTTGCTCAACACCACTGCTCCAAAAACAATGTGGTCAAGGCGCCTCAGATTGACTTCTTGAAAGCTCAGGCCTGGGTGGTGGTTTACAAATTGGTTTATTGTTTAACCCCATACCCACATCTGCAGCACTGTCTTGTTACTGCTGCAAATGCATTGCACACCCTTTTGCCAGATCTGGCGTTTGAGAAGCATGCTGGGCTACAAGTTGAACCCGGTGAAGATCCACCAGGATGCATGGACTCTGAAGAAGCTCTTCTCATACTCGATGCGCCGCACTGGTCTGGATAGCCGCCACCACAAGGACCACAGCCCATCACGTCGTGTGCCTTTGGCTTGCTCTGGGCACAAAGTGTTTATTTTGTGCTTTTGGTTTGTAGGCATGGGTAGGCAATTGTTGGCACAAAGCCTGGAAGTTCCAGGCACCTGGTGTTGCAGAGTACTTTGAGATCATCAACAAGTGCTGGGGTGAAGAGCTTCGGAGGCTTCATGAGGAACGCGCTGAGCGAAGGAAGAGCCCTCAGGAACCGGTTCCTGTGCTTGAGATTGTTGATGATGATGGCGATGATCTAGGCTTGCTTGAGAAGGAGTCCCTCAAACAAGCGGAGCAAGGAATCATCACTTTGGTGCTGGATCTAGAAGAAAATCTCGATGATCCTCCCAAGCCAGCTCCTAAGTCTGATGAGCCTCCTGTGACACCTGTGCCTCCGCGCTCTTGCTTTGCAAATCCTGGGGATGTGGCTGACAAGATCCGCCAAGTGAAGCCTCTTGCATGCGTGATAGCAAAGAGTTTATGTTTTCTTTGGAATGTTTTTCTATGTTTTTCTTTCATGAATTGAATTCTCCTCTGCGCATTTCTTGAAAGCATCCTCATGACTGAGGGAACTCATTGCGCAGAAGAGCAAACTCAAATCAGTGGCTTCTCCTCAGAGCGCACTGCCTCCCAACATTGACTCCATGCCAACCTTGCCCTACAATCCTGGAGATGCTGAGTTGACCTGTGCTGCCAAAGATCCCTACCAGGATTATGTGATGTCACTGGACACTCCGCCTGATGCGATTGCAGCCGAGTTTCGGCCTGATTTTTCCAAAGAAAGTCAGGCAGGGCTTGAGGGTCAGAAACCCTTGCAGCAAAAGGAGCTTGAATCTTCAGATGAGAAGGAGAATGCCCGGCTAGCTCCTGTTGATGCAGCTATTGCTTCCCGCAATCTTCTTGGACGAGCTGAGGAGAAGGCTGTGGAGGATGGCGCTCAAGAAGCTCAGGAGAGTGCTGCTTGTGAGGCTGAGCCAAAGAAGGCTCTGAAGGAGAGCGAAACAGATGCTCTTCGTGATCTTGAGGAAAGGGCCCTTAGCGCGACTGATGAGAATGAACGGATGCATCTTGAACTTGAATGGGGAAAGGCTCTTCTTGCTATGCCCGGAAATAGGATTGATATCCAGCTGGATACCTTTGGTTGAAGTCTTATCACGAAAGGTAGCGGTTACGCTACCTGAGTTTTCCTTTTGCTTTAGCAAAAATGTATTAACCCAGAGCTGCAGCCTGTCTCTCGGAGAAATGGTCCCCGACATCTTCGTTTGCTGGCCGGGGGGGGGGG